GTGAATTAGAAGAAAGAAGCTGATGAACCGAAAAGCAGTGGTGCTACTGAATGGAGCAGATTTTCTCGTGGTGAAGTTTTCTAATTTCCTTCGTGTGGACTGACTTTACGGTCTTCCCCCATCCTCTTGCCAGCTGCCATCTATCGCCACCCAACGTACATTTTTTGGACATTTTCACAATTTTCAGTTTCCAAATAGTAGAACAGAAATATTACTTTAAGAAGAGTAAAACCTTTTATTTATACCCTTAAAGATAAAAATAAATATAAGAGTAAACCCTTATATTTATTAAAGAAGAGTAAAACCTTGTCAGAAATGGCAATTTTTCACTGAAAACTTAGGAGTCGTTTTTTGTTTTTTTAAAGGCCTTTAGATGTTACTGTAAATGCGGAATTTGAAGCTCTTTTTCATGGAAAATTTTTGCGTTTTCGAAAAACTTCACTTAAAATCATTTGAAGTACTATTACTCATAAATACAATATTGTTTACAAATCTCTGAAAATGTGCATATTAACGGCGTGAGATAAATTTAAAAAAAGTTTGTCACTTTTGAAAAAACAAAATTAACTATGTCATTTTTAACAGTGCAATTAGCACTATCCTCTGGAAAAGTTTGAAGAAAAAACTTTGAGCCAATTTTTAGAAAATGGCGTTAAGGCATTTCCGAAAATGTGAAATTTTGAGCTCTTTTAAAAAGAAATTTCTTTCAGATGTTGAGAAACTTTATATGAAATATTTAAAGCACATGTAATCATAAATACAATAATGTGACAAATTGACGCTAAATATTACTGATGAGAGAGACAAATAACCACTTTTTAATTTTTGCAAAAACATAAGTGCAATGTGGCATATATGTCATCTAATAGATTCATTTATCACTTTCCCACCAAAAGTTTAAAGAAAAAAATTGTAGCCATTTGAGATATATATTTATTTATTTGAAATTGCAAATACAGCTAGCAATATTGCTTGAAAACTATTAAAATTTTCAATAAAATGAACATGACCTTAATGAAAGAACTAATTATGGACAACAAATTTCATTTGGAGGAGAAATCTCTATCTTCAATTTTCAAGATACCGAAAAAATCAAAATTTCGTAATTTTTGAAAATTCATAGTTAATCGTGAAAATGCCACCATTATAAGTGTATTTTACTCTATTATTACAAGAAGTTGCAAACACTTTCACCCGTTTTTGAGAAAATGTTGAAAATGTAGTTTCATGTCAAGTACCACCAAATTTTGAAGATAGTTTTTCAACACGCAGCGTCTAGTTTGAGCCAGATCGACGGGAGAATTTACATTTTGAAGAAGAAGAAAAAAGAAAAAAAAAGAAAGAAAGAAAGAAAAAGAGAGCGAGAGAGAGAAAGGCAATTACTGAGTCTGGTAATGTATCCGAACCCCTCCCCAAATTTTACAATTTGTAACTGGCCATTACTGGAATGTGAAAAGAAAACAGAATAATAAAAACCTTACACACACGCACAAAAAAAAAAGCTTTTGGGTAAAGGATCTAATCAGAAAGACGTAAAAAACCCAATTGTTGAGTTTCACACAACAATTTAGTACTGTAGCCCCCACAAAATTTGGGAAATTATTTTCTGAGCCACTGTTGGTGCATTTATCTACATACAGAAATCACAATGGGGTAAAGCGAGAACTGACGAAGGGCTAATGGATTTTCTTCAGTAAACAGAATAATGTGGGGCTTTCTTAAGCATTTATTTAATCCACTTACATAGCTTTCCAGAGCTGTTGGAATATAAATAAATAATAAATTATAATAGTATAAAAATTAAATGGTTTTGAATTTACATCTTATATCTAAGCCTTAACTAAAATATCATATCAGAGGGAGGAAACAATACTTAAGCCACAGGATCTGGGAACATTATTCACACTGTGCAAGGTCTTTACTATCAAATGAGCTAACGGTCCTCAGGACACAACAATGGGTAATGTAAACACAAGTAACATCAATTGGACACTACGTCCTGTCGTGAAAACCATTGGTTTTCAAAATTCTGCTCAGGGGGTTGTTCTGAAAAAAAGGGGTGAGAGACTCACACCCCTTCAGTTACAACAAGCAGGGCTTTTCCACCTGCTGAACATTATTATTTTCCATTCACAACATATAAAGAGCACAAAACATCAGTCATTCACGCAGGACTCCATGGTTTCCTTCAGATCACAGACCACTTCTATCATTCTATCAGCACCTCTGGGCTCCCAATTCTGCTGGAAGAAAAGCGCATTCAAAGTAAAGCAAATAATAGGAACATACTTTACCCAACAACAGGTATTACTTACGAAAAGAAACTTTGGTAACATTTTTCTCTTAAGAGATAAGCTGAAGATAATTAAATAAACTTAATAATCACAAATGCGAATAATCACAATAGCGAAAATGCATTAAGGTGCACAATTACATCATTCTCTTCATAACATTCTTTTATGCCTCACTATCATATATCAAACTCATCTTAGCTTGCATGGGACTTATTAAAAGGAGAACAGTCAACAAGAGAAATTAAAAAAAATTCTGCTCCCTGCAGCCAAACTTTCTGAAACTTCTCTTCTTAGAGAAAGACTTTTGTTAATTCAATGAAAACATAATTAAAATGTTTATACAAAAGTCATTACACACATTACTTACATATAATATCTACAAATAATTCTTGACAAAACAAGGACTATTGTGATGGTGGAGACATTGTGTGTCATTCTGGCTGAAACAAATATCATTTCTCTGAAGTTCCTGCATTGATATCAATATTTTAATAATACTGATGAGATATCTGCAATTCCATTTTTTTACAGTAACCCTCCAGGAAAATAATTTGGAAAAATCATTACAGAAGTCTTAAGTCAGTCATGAGTTTGTGTTTATGAATTGTTTAGAAATAATAGTGTTAGTAACATCAACAATACTAATGTCAGTCAATATATTTGATAAACTATACCATCATAATAGCTCAAACTATTATAGAACACTTTCCCATTGCCAACAGCAACTAATAAAATTCAATTCTCAATTTACTGCGAAGGAAACCACTTGTCCTTTCAATGTTCAACAGTGAATCTTTCACACATTTATGATACCTCTATATGCAGATTAAATTCATACTGTATATAATACTGTGCTATACAGTTCTTGCAGGTTTCAAACTGGATGCAGAAAATTATTCTTGAATTTTGTACAGCGAGTATTCAATGAATGGAATTTATTATATTCATACGAGTACACTTTCAAATTTCCAGAAATCTCAGCTTTCATCTAAATCTTTACAAAATATTTTCAAGTAAGCTGCTCTATATTTTGATATTTCATAATCGATTTATTCACACCTAGCAATTTGGAAAAAAGGGTGAAAGTGGCCTTCCAACTTTCATTCACATTTCAGAACACTTTTCACTTTTCTAATCTTTACCTCAGTGAAAAACTATGACATTATGAATAAACGATGTAAATTCTTGTACATCACAAAACATCAATTTGCTTCAAACATAAAGCTCAGAGGAAACGAAGGAGAATGACATGGAAAAAGTCATTAGCATGACATGAATTGGTTCTTGTAAACTCCTCTCCCAGAGCAAGGTGTATCACATAACTTTATTTTAGCAATGAGATGCTCAGTTGTAAACATTTAATTTTGAAGAGACATGCACATATAGCAGCCAGTCCCAGTTGAAACCATTATGAAACAATAAGATGAGAGTGTATGAACAGTAATGTGTATCAGCTGCTTTGAAATATCAGAGAAATAGGGAACATGAAGTTCAAACTCCATGTCACTGTATTAGTATATTATATAGCGAACAATAAATCAAGTTCCATTCACACAGCTCCAATAAGCCCATGGCTTTTCCTTGCAAATTGGTCTTCCTCAAACAATTGACTTGCACATCAGCCCCCGGCACCAATAGTCTACCATACCATTTCTAATATTGCACTGGTCGAAGTAATGCACAAGCAAGATACAGAATACCCTAATTCACAACTCAACTAGGCAATGAGTGCACCTGATGGCCTTATTCCAACAGAGAGGATGAGATGCCTGGACATGTCATGCATCGAGAAACATCACAAACACCCAAAACAAAATATAACTGACTGAATTCACAACTTTCTCAAACTGTGAAATAAACTTTATAATACATAAAACACTTCCACAAACAGGAGCCCATATACTTCCGTATGGGCAGTGTTGTGCAGTGTGCACTTGCAGCTGAGACCTATTTCAGCTTCATTAAATGTTTGTATTATCATCCTCATAGAAAATAGTAAACAATGCTGTACAGGAGAGAGGAACTCTTTAAAAACTATAAATAGGGCTGTCAGAAAATAAATATCTGCAATTTACTTTCTTTCTTTTATCTGCAGTTACAAAAAAAAGGGGGGGGGGATTTTATTGTCTTGAAATAAGTGAAATCTGACATTGTGCATATGCTGTATCAATAGGGTGAATTTAATTATTTGCATAAACACATGAGCTCTGCACTTAATCAATCAATGAAGTTGAAATCATTACCATTTTGATATTATTCAGAATTTCTGCTTCAATCACATTTAGGTCTGTTTTATTAAATACTTTTTAAAAGAAACTTTACATTTAGTTTTTGTTTTAAATTCTCACATTAAAAGAGTTTGTCACATATCAAAGATGTTTTTCTAGCAAAAATTTGTCTTCAATAATTTTCTTGCCTTCTTTCAAGCCAGGTCTGACACAGCACATGCCAAATGATACTTTTGCAGTTGGTCTACACAAAAGTTATGGTTTACCAATAAAGTATTGTAAGGGAAACAAAATTCCAAGGATATAATTTACAAAAAAGTTACTTTCTGAAAGCCCAAAAACAAAAATAATTTCCATTTTCATATTCTTTTTAAGTCTCATCCACTGCTATACTTTTTTTAAAAATACAGCTAATAGAATAATAAAGTAATACTTGTTTAATAAATACCTTGGGTGGGTCTTTGCTTTTCGCTTATTTACAATACAACAATGACAAAGGCAACAAACTAGAATGTATGCAAAGTATCATATATATATTTATATTTATATATATTTATATTTAATTTATATAACATATTTGTCATGTTCTGCTCTGAGACGCCATGATACGTGACAAGTATGCACAAAGAGTCGGGTGAGACACAGCGTGAAGCTTGAGGGAACGTTTGAGGTGTGTGAGTGCCTGCTAAACCCTCCATCTGAGCATGGTGACCTGACTAGAAAACTCTGCACAGGGCCATCTACAGATGGCACGTCCTGCCAGAACTAGAGAGCATCGCAGCCAATCACTCTCGCGCTGATATGTTCAAAGCCTTTGGCTGATCTGGGGAGCGGCAGGGGAAAACCCAAGCCTTTTGCGCAATTTCCTGCTCTCCATGCTCAGATGCAGTGGGGAAAGACGATCACCTACAGACTCAGAAGCACAACCAAGTAATACTTATAAAATTATTACTTTTAGAAGACAGTCATATTTTGGTTGTGGAGACTTTTAAAATTTTTAGTTTTCTTAAACACATACCACAAGCAATAAAGGACTCTATACTGGGCATAGTACTCATTCAACATGTGTACGTGTATACATGAATGTGTATGTCTCTGTATGTATAATGTATACATATACTTGTAATATTGTGTTTATTATGTATATATTTATATATTATGTAGAAGAAGTGGAGAGAGGCTATGCAGCCCCCTGTCCAACTTCCTTTGCTAGGAAGAGGCTGCTTTCTCTGGCTCCACTGACTGTTTGCGCAAACCACTTGCCCTAGCTCCCAGTCCCCCTCATAAAGTCCCTTTCCACAAACAAAAACAAACACAAAGAGACTTGAGAACATAACTTTCTTTTTGTGCCATCCCACATTTCAACCTCAACAGCTGCATTCGTTCACTACTTTGTATATTTACCTGGCCCCTATTGCTGATCCATAATATCTCTATAACAAACAAATGCTCATCCCTGATGGCCAAAATAACAAAACAGCATGGCTTTTGCTACAAAAACATTTTCATGAGCAGAAAGAAACTCTGATCAGTCTTCATGAAGTTAACCTCCAAATGGATGTGCTCCGTTTGATGAGTCAACTCCAACTAAATGAGTAACAGGATGCCAGTAACGCTAAATTCAAGAGTAATGGCAACACTGTTTGAACCAAGCGAAAGCAAGCACAAGAGAGTGCTGGTTCAACCATGACCAAGATACTGCTGGTCACCATGGAAATAAGAGGTTGCTGCGCAATCCAGCAAAGGCCCTGGAGCTGCAGCGATGCCCGCCTCAGACACCCACACCCTAAAGACATACCAGCTTGCGCTGCACACGCAGACAGACAGGGAGGCATCCATACACACATCCTCTCATGCTATCAATTGCTCTCACACACCGTCAACTGGTCACAGTCTATCTCTGGCTTTTTTAACAGAGGCTGACGACACGCGACGACACTCATGTAGATGAGACAGTGGTAGTGATGGGAGTGCAACGAGAGAAGCCTGCTTACGCATGGCGACAGCAGTCACTGCACCCACACAGACCTTCACTTGGCCATGTGCTGCTGCAGCATTGGAGACGCAGTGATGCGTGGAGCTGAAACTGCTCTCCTCCGCGCGAGCTTTGACCTGGACATATTTATATGCAACTATAGTAACACTTTTTATTCACTTTGAAATACTTAATGATAAGTAACAATCATCACATTTATTTCATAAAGAAGTTAATGGTTACAACTTTTTAAAAGGTGTCATCTACAAAGTCAAGTCAAATAACCCACCACTGTCGGGACTTGATCACTAAGACCACAAGCACCAACCTCCTGATCACAAGCACAGAAGTGACAACAATTGATGCCCTGAGCTAATAACCGAGTTTACAATTTTATACTGACATTATTTAGAGTGTAGAGTGTATTGACCTAGTCATTTGTAATGTTATTTGTTAAGTTAACAAGTGTTAAGTATGAAACTATGACCTCATGGTATTTACAAACCGAACAATTTAAACATTCTGACAATGGTTATATTTTTGTAATTGAATGGAAAATGTGGGCTTGTGTACTATTGCAAAATTAAATTTAGGAAAGTATTTCAGAGACTGATTTGCAATGTTTGAAGTCCTAACGCAGGTGGGTTTGTTTCTACTCAATGGGTGTGATGCCATGTTCCTCCTTGGTGCGACCCATGGTCCAAAAAGATTTGAGAATCTCTGACAAAATCTGTAATATAATATTTAACTTTATCTTCATTTCATAATTGCTTGATGAAGCAACATATCAGTAATGAGTTGCTTTGTTTTTGACATCCTGTCAGAGAGATAGCAATTTAAAAAAGGTCAAAAAACTGTCCCATGTAATGCAGATGTTCTCACCTGATACGACCAGCCAATAAGGGATTAATGGCATAGAGCCAGTCGTGGACTTCCTTATCTCCCAATGTCTGCATTAGGAATCCTCTGTGCTTTGTCACCACACTGTTAAGCAAGAACAAAACCATTACATCCACAATACATAAAATATATATGGAAGATTTCCTGTTTTCACAGATCCCCCCCCAAAAAATGAATCCAAAAAGAGAATTTGCAGGCGTTGGTGGGTACACAGTACAATTTAAGTACACTTCTCATTCAATTGGCACCTCACTTACCAACTTTTTCTCTCACACTACAAAACATTAAATATCATATGAAGAAAGTATAAACTTTATAAAGGAAATTCAATGACATCTATAGTCATAGTCTTCAAAGAAGCATGAGAAGGCAAAAGTGCTGAGAAAAACATGTAAGTGTAGAGAAACGTCTATCAAATTGTGAAGTGAACATTACGTTTCTGAGAATTGTTGCTAATAATTAAAAAAAAATTATAATTTCATCTTTCCAGTCAGACTAATATCATTCATTTCTAAAGAATTTCTAGAGCCTCAGGAGCCTAATTTTCAATTACAATGTAATGTATATACACATTACATTATTACTGATATACATATACATTACTGTTAAATTAGGAAGAGAACATAAAACTTCTATAACAATAAACAAATGGTGCTCAATAACACAATTTCCCAAATTATTTGGAATAGTAATACAATATTACAGCACTGCAACTTGCGTCCTATAGTTACTTCTGTCATATCTTGAAAAACTTTTCACTGATGCACGGGAGATCCAGAAGAACATACATTCCTTTTTTTGTACTATGATTGTACAAAGATTTGCTGTATTTATTGTAATGCTGCAGCCACGTTTCAAAAATTCAGAGGCTTTAATGAAAATCTATCCAATGCGATTCTCATAAGCACACTGTGCTCTATTACAGTAAAGAATTTACAGGAAAATTTTGAATCATCTTTGAGAACATTTTAATAATGTCCTAGGGGGCTTCATGCAAAGTTTGCCCCAAAATTAACAGATGTTTCAAATATATTGAGCATCAAGTGCTGCCAGATCAAGAATAAAATATCTGTTTTAGAGAAAATTTTGAGTACACAAATGTTGACCCTAGTCCTAGAGATGAAGAGAGTTAGTCTGAGAAAAATGCTAGTAGTTAAACCTTTTAGCCAATTTTCTCCAAAATTAATATTCCCCAATCAATCTGGTTGATGTTGTGGCACCTTGAATTTGAAACCGATATTTTAATTTGGGGAGGGGGGGGGGATACTTTACATGAAGCCCCTGGGACATTTTCCAAATTTCAAAAAAACAAAGGGTCCATCATTTATTACGAAATTTTGTTGTTGTTGTTGGATAGTATGAAGGATGTTTAAGAGAATGGAACAGGTCTCCTGTCGTTAAAAACCCTCATTTTTCAAAAACTGCAAAAGTTTAACATATTTTTGGAGTCTTCCTACAACTAAAATATTAAAGATAGTGATTTGTTCCCTTAATGAAATCTGTTTCTCAAAGATAGATTTTGAAATAAGGTCATGTACAATTTTTCAAAAATTTTAGTACTTTTTGCATAATTATGCATGAAAATACAGGTGTGAAAGTACTTGCTGTTTTAGTACCACTAATTTTTAATATCAGAGACCCCACATAAACAAAACATTGCTATCCAAACCTTGAGATCAAACTTTTGCAACATCACAATACTTCCTCTATACTTAGTAAAAAAAAAAGTATTTGGCACATTTATCAAATAACTTACAGTCCCTTATGTAAATATTAAAACAACAACCATCACTAAATATCATTTTATGTTATATTCAAGTGGTTCAAGGTATGTTTATAGAGCTGGACATGAGGCAGTTTAATGAATTCTTAAATGTTATTAATTTCATACCTAAATGTGTTTGGCACCTTCACCATTTCCTGCTGGTCCTCTGAATATTCCACCTGCGCTGTAGCTAGATTGATCAGCGCTCGCTCTACTGGGTCCTTCTCTTCACGGAAGATGAACACATATGGGCGACGAACAGCCTGCATTACAATCCATTAGCAAAGTATTAATTAAACATTCACACCGACAGCAACTGCACATAATTTATGTTTAACATACGTTAATAAAGCAACTTATTTGTTGGTGTAGAAAAGTGAAAACTGCAAGAGATATGCATTCAAAAAGACATACAAACACAACATTCAGACTTTGAACATATAATTGAATGATTATAATTATTTGTAATAAGACACTTTCAAATCAAAGAGGCCAAGAAGTACGTGAAAATTCCTGATGTGTTCTTGATTTACTCAGATTCATTTTTGTTGGTGGATGAATTAATTTTAATCATCAATAAAATTGCAATTTGGATAAAGAATTTATCCACCTCCCTAAAAAGTAATTTCAAAATAAAATTCCCGGACAATTCCATGCACTTCATAGGCAACACTAAATTCCCCTTTTGTTTGATTCCTGGGGTTACAGCTACCTTGCCAACTTTCTGTCCAACACAATGTAGTAATAGACACTTATGCTTACCACCCATCGCTTCTTCCAGCCATTGGTCTTATGTTCCAAGATATTGAGGTAGCCCTTGCGTGCAACCACTGGACTAATGCGAATCTCTTCCATCTCTGGCACATACAACACAACCTGTTCTCGGCTAGGAGATGAAGTTAGTACACTGCCAGTCAAGGAGTCAGTACTCGCTTCGATCACTCCTGGGGTTGGGAAAATGAACTGCTCAGGTAGCACTGGCCTAGTTTTCTCAGGTGACCCTAGTCTGCAAAACAGAAGACAAACTTAATTTTCACTTCATGTTATTTTCTTCATTTTATCATTTTTATACGTAAAGTACATTCAACATTTTTTAAGTGACAAAATTAATTTTTGGTGTTTGGTAGAAGTGGTAATAAATAGGGAAGATACTGAATCCTAAAGCCAACTGTAGCAAAGCTCATTAGTGGCACCCAAGTAAAATTTATATTCATTAAAATTCTTGTCAATCATTCTCAATTATCAAGGAATATTATTTTGGAAATTCATGAGACAAACGGTTTCTTGAAAAACTCTTGCAGTTAATAATGTATTTATTTATCTACAAAGCAAAGTTGGGAGACTTAATTTGCCCCAACATCAGGCTAGAAACAACACAATTTTATTTAGATACTATACATTCTGTTTAAAACAAATAAGAAGGTACCAACACCAAAGACCAAGACAATTTTCTTAAACTTATTTCTTAGTTTGAATTTTGTATAATATATAATAAAGGACGTCTCAGAACTTTTTGTTTTGGATACCCTCCTATGTGTTTTAAACAGAATGTATAGAATTAAAAAATAAAATGTTGATTCTAGCCTCATGATGGGGCAAACTGAGCCTCGAAACTTTGCTTTGAAGAAATATAAATAAATGCATTATTAACAGCAATAGTTTTTTCAAGAAAGTGTTCATCTCATGAATGGCCAAAATAATTTTCCATGATACAAATTTATATTTATCTCTTCAGTCTAAATAGACATTTAGAGTTATTTAATTTATCATATTCATGGTGGGTTCTAATTGTTTATTTTCTTACAACAGAGATATGGATTGAATAAAGAAAACTAGTAAAATAAATATTAATTCCACTTACTCAATAGAAGAATTTGACATCATACTTGACACCATGCTGTCAATTTGAGCTTCTTCGCTGGGCGAGATGTCACTCTCACGTTTAACCATTGGCAAATCCTACAAAAAACAAAAACAAACAACAATCAAGACATGCTGAAAACTGCAAAATCACTTAGTTTAATTTTAATACAATCATTTAATTGTTTCATTCACAATTAAAAAGAAACATACGAATGACTTGGTTCTTAATCTCGTAACTGGGAGTGAAGAAGTAGAGAGAAGAAGTTACCATGAGAATTATCTTTGAATTTGTAGCTCATGAGTTTGCTGTTTATCTTGCTTTGGATTTTGTTAGTAAGTAGTGATAAATCATCATGAAATTAATATTTTATTCTCTAGAGCAGGATAAGATAAGCTCTCAATGCATTACTCTATTTTTAAGAATTGATTCATCCTTGCATCATTGAAATGGTAGTGATAAACAATTGTGTTTTCTTATCAAATTGATTCCCCCTTTTTGATTCGGGATGGGGAAATTTCCTGAAGTCATGAGACAGGGTGAAAAGAAGTCTTAACCGATACCTTTTCCATTTAACAAAGAATCCTTGATTAATAATGTTTCCCTTCTTTTCAAAGAAATAAGAAATGAATGTATTTGTTAGGAATGTGAATTGAATTTCTTGGCCTTCTCCCTCTCACTAGATTAAACTTTTTTGTATGTGAGAAAACAATATCTCTATTGCCTTTACCAACTCAGTTTATTTCAGTATTCTTCAGATTTAGCAGTGAAGAACAGAATGGTTAAACATGATTGAGAAGAACAAACCTTAGTTAATGTAATATTTAAAAGCCATCCATCCTGTTTTCATCACACTAATATTTAGCACATTTAAGTACAATTAATGTCTCAAAATGTATTTAAATTTTCTCTTGATTTCTGATGTTTTATAGCATTATAAGATACTATTGTTCATAAAAATCAAATGATCAAAATAAACAGGGGATTGGCAATGACAATACAACATTAGCGACTTGTGCATTCACTGTATGGAAAATTATCATGTGGTTTTAATCATGTGGATGTGACAATCATTGCGAGCCTCAGCTAGAATCTCAAATCAGTCATTGGGATTCCTTGAAACATTAAATGCATAGAGATAGTATGATGACAACGATAGATAGTATGATGTGTAATGAGAAGCGGGTGGATTTTAATGAAATTTAAATTTTTTCTTGCAATGCTCTTTAGTACAGAAATTCATTTTATGTTAAGACCAAATGAAATGACCTATTTTTATGTCAACTTTTTTTTAGCATTTTTCATTGATTTCTACTAATAAACCATTTATTACCTTTTATGTCATTTGTAAGGCATTTTTTGCTGATTTCATCAACTTTAATATAATTTTAATGGTACTTGCTTTAAACAAATTTACAAGGTGCAACAAATGTTCACCACACAATTCCTGAGAAGCCTACTTGATTTATTCACTCCTATATTGTAATGTCAGCTGTTGTGAGTACTATGTAATCTAAGGTTCCTGTGACGCCTGTCAGGCCGTTGACAATTCGGACGATTTAGCAATAAATAAAGACCGAGATTTTCTTTAAAAGAACACTCCAAATAAAAAGTTTGCAAGTTGAGTTCACTTGAACAAAAGGAAGAAGCATCGAAAACATCAGTAACATACCCAACAGCTTGAGTTGTTCATCTGAAGTGGTTTTAATCAAATTTTATTTGTAATTTTTCTTTGTTTTTAGGGCATTTTAAAAGCATTTCATTGATCATTTTTGGCAATGGTTTAGGTCATCAAAATCCGCCCCCCAGTAATGAGTGTGGAAGAGGAGCAGGCATTGGAAGCTCGAAAATCCCAAGAAACCCCCACACAAACCTGCTTTGTCCACCACGAATTCCCACATGGATTAATCAGGATTTTGTGAAGTAGAAACTAGCCTTTTTATTACAGGTCACTGTCATTAAACATAAAACATGTTCCTTGTTTTTGTTGGTTTTACATACAAGAAGAAAAATTTACAAGTGTTTGTTTCTAATTATGTCCATTGTAGTGCTGAACTACATATAATGAAAATCTTTGGTACTCGATTCTGTAAAGTGTTATTGAGTGTAATCAAGAAATTATTATCCAAGAAGTATTTGTTATTGAGAAGTGAGTTTGCAATCCTTCAAAAAAATTATCAGAGTGACAGAAGCTATAAATGGAGCTCAATTATTTAAATAAAAAGTTTGAGAAACTCTTTCTCTTAAAATCAAGGTTTTAATTGGATTTCAATTTTCTTTATTATGGCCCAACTCTGTAGTGGATTCTTTATGCGATGTAGCTCTGTTATGGATTAATGTCTGTGAAAGACTTTCACCTTGAAAGAGGAATTTCAGATATATTGCTATTCTGGTGATGAGAGCTATAAACAGCTAACAGAAGAGTCCAAAAGTAAGCTGTTCCAGAACACCAACTGTTCCAAAAAATAAGGATTTCATTGAAAAGGCTCTAATAGGCTTTTAACACTTCAAATTGACATAATTTTCAAGATTATGTACCAGTGATATCTTTTTATTCTCGCCTCTTTATTCTGGTAAAAATTAGTATTTACATTTATTGGATCCTACTAATGTTAGAACAGAAGAAAATAATACTTATAATTATTGCATATAGCAAACAAATTCCAATCTCCCCTTAATGGTTTTTATAAGTGAAATTCAATGTAACTATTCAATATTCTTATTTCAACAGCTCTCAAGTACGCAAGTCAGACATTGGTTACTTAGTCATTAGAACTCACCTTGCTAGGTATGCGTCCTTGGATGAGGCGAACGCATTTGAGCAACAACTCTCGTTCGCTTTCTGTGTACTCCACAGGCTCTAATACTTCCTTGGCTGGTGTTGCAGGCTTCAGCACCACTGGGCTAGCACGACCCTCATTTGTTGCCTTGGCCACCATATTGCACACTTCCTGTAAAGACAGTCTACTATGAACCCACTCACAATTCGAGCACAACAAGTGGAGCTCAGTCACCTACAAATTTATCATGTGTACACATGTGCTGAATTCTGTGCACCCATAAATAGTGCTCTAAAAAGAACTGCAATACAGTCATCCTCAATCACATATTGCACAAATTTTTCCATTACACAAAATCACAATTCTTGACAATAATAATATATTTTTAAAAGTTTATTTTTAAATGGCATACATTTATTCTGGAATGCCTTCACGGTCTCTGGCGTACTGAGCCTCTGGCACAACTTGGTGTGCTGAGCTAACATTGCAGATAATGTTCTGATGAACACTTCATTTATGACTGTAGGTATAAGCAATTATGACACTAACTGAAGATACTGTACACATTTCAACAACAGATTAAGCGAATGAAAATTAGTTTCATAAGTCTGTTTCCAGTTCTGAAATAATCTGTCTTTGTTTGCTCTAACTTCTTCATAGGCATGTGTATTTAAAGATTTAAACTTTTTATAATCTTTGAGCTAATTTGTAGATGATGTTGTGTTTCAGAGAAATTGTCAAAATTGAAAATCTAAAAATCTGCCAATTTACTAGCCAATCAGCTATTCAGTCCCCTTTTGTACAAGAGAGATGAATGTTACAGACAAATATGTTTCTGATGTAGGATGACTTTCAAGAAAAGTTGATGGTTTTTTATGTATAAAAAGGAGAAAAAACAGCATAACTCTTCCATGGGATGAAGTGAAAATGAAATTTCAACAACAGTCCTCGTATTGCACTCCTGAGTTAGAAATGACCAATAAACCAACTTCAAGTCATGAAGGCTGACTTATTATTCACTGAAAGAAAAATATTTTAAAACTTCAAAAGAATATTGTTTAACATATAAAGGAGATGGCAGAATATTTTTATTGTGTTAAGTTATAAACCTGATGTTGCTGCTTTGAAGTAAGATTTTGCAGTTACTTCAAGAATAGTTATAAAATTGAATGTCATGAAAAATAAATAACGTGAGGTTTCCAAAAAGAAAAAATGATGAATTTGATAAATATTCTAATACAAAGTGTTTAAATACTCTTACCAATTAAGCAACAAAGAATTTTATTTTTAAAAAGTTAAATTATTATTAAAGGTTTTATAAAAAAGAAAAAAGAAAAGAAAAGAAAAAAAGCAACGACTGAAATTTAAAAATAAAAACAGATTTCACTTTACATTTTTTATGTCTGATTTTTGATGATGTAATAAACAAAAGCTCATTTGATAACACATTAAATAGTTGATTGTAGAACGTAGTTTTCATAAATATTTTAACATGTACTAAATTGTAACACAGAAACAATCAGCACAAATAAAAGCTTGTATTTTCAGAAATTTTGAAAGCCATTGATTTCCAGATTTCAATAAAACAAATTCTGTCAATAAGAAATAACACTGATTGATATTAAACACAATAAAATGTGAATTACATTAAACTATGAAGCAAAGCACATGATAAGGACATAATATTTGAATGTGACAGTGAGAGCAAATTATTATTTTTGCAAAAGCAATGTGCCCACATTTGCCAAATACATTTGAACATTTTTGGAAAGATAAATTAACATGAAAATTAATTTGGAAATATTTGTCAACTAGACCCATTTTACCACAGCTCCTAAAGAGCAGTGACAATTAATAATTCTGATGAACAATAATGATATAAAGGAAACCTTAATTTTATTATTCTCTGAATATTTTTCAAATTAATTATTTTCTAGGTTTAGATGGTATGTTGATGGGAAGTACAACTATGCTTAACTGGGCAAATATGACCTAAATATGAGATGGAGTAATGAGTACCAGTGATAATAGCAAACAATGCAACAATATCATCAGAATATACCATGGAAATAAGTGATTTGTATGATGTGACTAGTTTAATTACAATGGCTTGCTCATAAACCTTGTTGCGGTAAAGCTGGTGAAGGAAATTCAATAACATAAAAGGAAAAAGAATGGGCAGTCCAATAATTAAAGAGAGGATATGAATAATAATTTCATGGAGACAAATATCAATTTCTGAACATCAGAGGTGGATCATCTTATTTTTCATTTCTCTCCAGTAACTTGAATGATTGCAGAACATGATATAGAAATATAAATTTATAATAAGAAAGCAGAATTATAAAGAGCTCTACTTTGGAAAAGGTTAAGAAACAAACATTCCAAAAAGGTTAATTCACAAAACATTGATAAACAAACACAAAAGCAGAATTACACTCCTGGACATTGTAGTCTGTCACATTATAAGTCCAGACCAGCACGAAAACAAATAGGAAGATGAGAAGAAGAAAAAAGTTTATTGAATTGATACTGAATTGATATTGTAATAAACTTTATATTATAATAACTTTATATCAGGTGTGACAATATCTCATTCAAAAGCACAAATATAAAAAACTACAACAAAGCTACAAGTTATCCCCATAATTATTAGCTAAATTTCTTAACATTAACTTCAAGATGAATCATTTTTGCATAATTAAAGATGCTGTAACACCCAAAACATTATACAACTGTTCTAGAACAAAATTATGTCAAAAACAGAACAGATACTCTACATAAATTCAAATACTTCTACAACTTGGTTTGTGCATTACTGCAATTTGTGTTTGACCACAAGATTGAGTGTTGAAAGGAGCAGTGCTAGGAATGGTTTAGTTGGATAGAGGAAGCAACACTCATCCTTCAGAGCTGCCTGTGGGAACACTGCGTGTGCTGCAAGTGTGTGGCTCAGCACACACAAAGCAAAACAGAACGCCAGCGCTGGCGCAATGGCAAACAACATGCGACAGCACCACGGAGCGGCATGAGAGACGGTTGCGTTTAAGTAACTGTCACTTACTGCCTTGTGTTTTGGGCTCTCCGGTTCTATCCCGGAGCGATCACAAATTGCGCACCAGTGCTTTGTACAATCCACGTACAAGAACTGCCAAAACAGAGCACACACAATTACAGCATAGCGCAGCTTCAACAGCGAGAAAACAAATTAATTTGATGAAATTTGATTTCTACAAAGAAGGAAGAAGAAATAGAATTGTTGCCGCAAGGCAGCGAATGTGAAAATGAAGAAATGCAGGTTACATAAAAATATCAATACATATGAGACTCATTTTTCTTTATTATTTAAAAAATACTTGAGGGATGTAGTGACATTTTCATCAAAACATTACCTGAGTTAAAAAACTGCCAGGAGGTTAGAAAATGGAGAAAAAGATTTGTGAAGAATGACAAGGAATTTAATGAGGCAACCAAAAATAAGGAGAATATCACATGAGTGGATTCTAAAAATAACTTAATGACTGGAAGAGCCAGGAGCATGCAGTTAATTGAGTAGAACCCTGTTATGTCATGAATCTGCAGGAAAATAAAATTCAATTATTAGACAAATTGTACGCACTTTTTCAGACTTGGAAATGTCTCGACGTGTCGAAAGAGCTTTGTCAATACCAAGATGGGCCCTGAGAAGCAGCAAATGGCGCACTCGTTGCACCTCTTCCAAACGGGTGAGTTTCTCCAACTCCCATTGGTGGTCGAAGATAAGGCTGTCACCACGTGGTCGCCAGCCATGAAGATTCTCCTCGCCACGCACATATGTGCTGCTTGTGTCCAAGACACGGCGCTGACGACGCTGAACACCTAAGAACAACGAGTTTAAATTTATCTTTTTAGAATAAATAAACGAAACTATGAAAGAGATATTCAATGGAAAACTCAACATACTTTTAAAAGTATTTTTTGTAGTAAACAGGTAAAATGTATTTGCATATATATAAAAACTTTACCCTTTATTAGAAAGTACTTGTAAAATTGCATGTTTCTAAGAACTATAAATAGGCTCCATTTGAAGAGAAAAATATTAATATATATCTAATATTATTTACAATAGTGCATCTGAAGAATCCAACATAACTAGGCGCAAGAGGCATACTGAACTACAAGGATGGCAGTGCATACATATGAGCATTAGAGCGAGTTCCACATGTGCTGAAATGCATACTACCAAACCTTAGTTCCATTTTTATCACGCTCCTCTACAAAAATATTGTTTATACTTGACAGTACTTGCCAACAGCCACTCACAAATCTCAAAATGTTAAAGTAAATATAAACACTTTTGAGAATATTATCACAATGACAAAGTTAAAATCTTCGTACAGTCATTGACACTTTTTAAAACACATTTTTTGGTAGGAATATTAATTTTTTGAAGAGTTACTGTGTTTTATTAAAATCAAAGAGGATTTATCATTATATCATAACATTTTGAATTTTTCACAATGAAAGGAATAGAAATATCAGATTATAACACACCACTCTTGAAAAACATTAGTAAGTTAACCTTAATTGGCTCTCCACAATCTCTTGCAAGTACTTTTATAATTACAGCAGAGAGAATTGAACCTACTCTCGAGGTTTGCCAAATGGCATAAGTGAGTCAAGGGGTTTCACAACCAAATGCAAATAAATTTCTGATCCCCTTTTTGTTTATCTTTAGTCAATGTTATAAATATTAAACTGACAAGAACTCAAAACACTTCATACTTTCTGTTCAATGAACTTTCTTATTACATATAAACTACACAAAAACATATTTATTCATTAGGTCATCAATATGGTACATCAATTAAGAGTTAAATGTCACAAAAAATTCCACCATAACAGTGTATGTGATAGTATTTGCGTATAATTCAGCATACCTACTCACCAAAGGCATACTGAGCTACAAAAATTTCAGTGCGTACACACAAGCAGTTAAGTGACTTCCACATGTGCTAAAAAAGGCTAAATGCTATTTGACATTATTCATTGAAATGCATTAGAGATCACATGCAAACTTAATTAGACGAGATACCACAAGGAAATGAAAATGAAGACTACTATCACTGATGGGCGGTATTTTGAGAACTATAAAATAAAATGTTTCAAAAAAATAGAAAAATATACAGAAATGATTTCCTAATAATTTTGACATGGTTTTAAGAATTTTTATAAAGATTGGGAAAAGTTTGAAGTCAAGAAATGATGTTAAATTGCAAATATAAAAATATGGCCAAGTTCTCAATAATTAATTTTCTAAAAGACAAATAATTTATTAAATTTTTCTCAAAACTAACCTGTTCATTAAAAAAAAAAGATAAGATAATGAGAAGACAAAGATCTTGAAGAGATTATAATGAGAATCTTTGAAGACATTTCATTAGATATGATATTATTCTAGTAAGTGTTATGTTGAAAGTTGCAGAAGAGAAACAAACCAAAATAATAACAACAACATACAATAAAAATAAAAACAATACGGCAATAAAAATGACAACATAAATGTAAACTCAGTGGCAGGGTGTTTTTCCCATAAAACTATCTCACAGGACCTGCATCTCAGAAATAGTAACTTCATGTTATTACTTAACAAACTGGTTTAAAATATTTATGAAATAATAAAAATACAAACTATGCAGCCAACAGTTCATAGCAGCTAACAAAAATACAAAGCAGGAATTTGCTAAAGCAGACAGTGCTCGGAATTCTGCTTCAAAATTGGATAGTCTTCCAGAAACAATCTTGGAAGCTTTACCCTGCCATGAAATGCAATCTTTTGGCAAGTCCATTTACACCTTTGAACTGAATGAATCTCTGATAAACTCCAACCCAATATTGTAAACGAATACCCAACAACGTTGAGGGAAAGAAATATCAATTCATTTTTAAAGTTTTTTGTTTTGGTAAAAGAAAACTTATTTTACAAATATGATTGTTACAATTGTTAAAGAAGAAAACCGTTACAAGAAGAACAGTTTTGAAAATGTAATTATAAAAAAGGTCTAGTGCTCTCTGAAAATCTATTGAGCCTTTGGAAGAAGAAATGAAATATATTTTCTCTTAATCAGAAGAGCGATGAAATAAAAGCCACACATCTATGTGTATTGAGAACAGCCATTTCCCTTCAAAAAAATGTTTTAAAAACAACAACAAAAGACAATTTCTCCACAGAGAGCCAATCTACACATTTTCACCTTTTTCAAAAATATTATTCTTATTCAGCATATTAATTTACTTCTTTCTACAGTCATTTTGATTTTCACATGACAAAACACATTTCATATTCTCTCTTGCTGAAAGCTTTTTTCAAATTCAATGCAGAACCCTAAATTCTCACTCTGGGTTCTGCCATTACCATCTCCGAGCACTACCAGCTACTAAACTACAGTGCAGCCAACAAACCTGGGCTACCTGCTTCTGAGGCCCTCTTCAGCACCAACTCATACACTCCAGAGAGCCTGTTGGCCTCAGCATTGCGATAGCTGCCAGAGAACAAGCCTTTCAGAGAGCGGGGTCCCGTTCGAGCATCACGACCATAGATGATCATGCTTAGGTCCTTTGTGATAATAGCAGGTTGTCCACAGTTCTCCAACTATTTAATTAGGATGGTAGTAAGGCATTTATAGAGCAAGAGAAACAAATATAAACTAATATATAACATGTCAATTTCAATGGAATTATTTTTTTGATGAATAAATGTAACTGAACTAATTCTACGACAAACTTCTGAATAACTGTATCTAAACAAAATGTGAGATAAAAGTGACAAACCTCCAAATAGGCAGAAATAGTCATGAAAATTTGCTCTCCGTAGGATGTAACTCGGTTGAGTAACGCAGAATTGTGGAGTGAACTGTCCCAGGCAGCCTCAAAGCGGAACATGCATCGGTCATCCCCAGGCACTTCCAGATATTCACCAGGGAACAAGCCCAACGAGAGCACAGAGCTATCGTTGTCCTCCTCTTCAGGTTCCGGGGTGTTGCGAATGCGACCTGCATTGCCCAATTTCAGATCACTTGTTTATTGAGTTTCAATTGGCGAAAGTATGAATTTTTTAATGAAGAAAAAATATTCCTTAAGCTTCCAATTTCAACAATTGCGAAATCAATGTTTTCAAATTAAAAAGTATATTATCAATTTAAAATGTAATAATTTATGGAATACTAACCAACAACAAGTTCACGAATATCTTTCCACTTTAGTTCTGGCACAGGCTCATGCACGATGGTGATGCGAATGCGCCTCTGAATTCCTTGGTGAAGTAGGAAGAGCCCTCGACAGGGCAAGTCATCACTGTGGTCAACCACAGCAGGAACATACTCACCGTTTGGAGCTGCAAACAAATCATTTATTTGTTAACGTTTGCATTTAAAATATTAAAATGGCTTAAAGCTTAAGGTTTCACAAAACACTATGTAAAAATTCAGAAAGAAAATATCAACTAAGCCAAACAATGATGGGTAGTTTATTTCATTATGAAAGAAGCAGATTTGCCCGTGTCATAAATTCAATTAAATGTGATCAAAGAAGGTTGATCAACTTACGACATGAAATATCAATTATAAAATGTATATTCTTTAAAATTTTAATCTTCTATTATTATTAACAAATATTTTATTTGGTTAAGAATGAAAGGGAAAAACTTCTTATAAAAAAATTAACAAAATCAAAATGTTAGTTGCTTTATTCTTTGCTTCAGTAAATTTTTTTAACAAATATCAATTAAATAAACAAAATGTACTCCAGTCCACAAAGTATTAAGTTAAATGCATTCTTAATAAGAGTCTTTCAGATACATACTTAGAGTTATTACTCACAAGTACTTAATTTTGTTACATCATACTCACCTAATTCACAAATCTCAAACCACACCATAACGTCATACTTGGCATGCACATGGCTGGTGCTAGGAGAAGGCAGAACACCAAATTTGGGCGAGCGGACTGGTTGGCTTATTGGGATGGAGGGTGGCAGCATTCTCCTGGGAGGCTGCCGATTATTGCTAAGAACACGTCACACTGTTACAAACTTGTTTCTAAACATGGCAGGGCACCATTTCAAATAAACAATAAAAACTTTTATCCATTAACATTACTTTAACTCACTGACATAATGAAATTGCTGCAAGTCTCTTCCAATGAGTTCTTAAAATTGTTGATAATTTACTTATATATGATTAAAGCTAAGATAAATTTCTGAATATTAACTGTTTAATATTTGCAATGGTTTTCAATGACCCCCTGACATGGCACAGTGTGTGGAGTATTTTTGTTAAACTGAGCGAGATTATTATTATTCATATTTTAATACAAATAAAATAAATTCACAATAAAATATATTGCAAATCTTCATCACATTTTAAGTATATAAAATTGTGACAATATGCTATAAAAATATTTTTCTGTAGATTTTTATATTTTCTCCCAAAATCTCCTGAATCACTCCCAAAATAGTGGTAATAGATAAATAAATGGATGGCAAAGGAGAGTAAGACTATTTTATTTAGCATAGGAAATCTATTTTATGTCTAAGTCCGTAGCCTTGGAAAACTTGAACAGCCTGTGAAAATAAATTATTATTAATCCCTTATCAGAAATGACTATCTTATTTTTAAAAGAGAGAGAGAGCATTTTTAATGGATTTCAAACCCACGCTAAGGTATCTCCATCATCTGTCAGTGAAAAGGAATCTGAACAAGACAACCAAGTCATGAAATCAACCTAATTGTCTGGGCTTCTACAAACAAGAACAGGAGAGAAGATCAAAATTTTTACTTAAAATCATTAAAATCAGAGATCATTAATCATACTTAAAATATTCCTTGAAGTTATGCAAATTAAAAAAAAAAAAAATTTACACAAAATTTTTTTAAATGGATTTGATTTCATGTTGATTTTAAGTGCCTATTCTTTTGACACTCACAATGAATTAGATGTAAAAGAAGACCCATTTACGCTCTTTAGCAGATAGCTACCTCTTTTACAGATTTAGACTCTCTAACAGAAAGTTCAATTCAAGATTTGGTAGGGTAACAGTACTGTGTCAACATATAGAATAGAGTAAGGAGACGCTCAACTAATTAGCCATGTTCCTCAATGTTCACCATGTTTCTCAAGAATTTTTGAACAATAATAATGGTTTTCAAGAAGCATATAAATCATTCAACAACTATTTTGAGCTAAACTTATGAATATTTCCTTCATTCTCATTATCTAAATGAGAAAATATGATATCCCTTTCTTTCAAATACACAATTCTAAATATGTATTACACAGCATTGGTAATAGGAAATCTGGAAAAACAGTTTTTATTGAATACTTACTGTTGCACAGATGGTTCTTCCACAAGAGACATTTTTCTCATCATCTTTGCTGAGGGATCAAGATGGTGACCATAAACTTCGAAAACTATCGGCTGAGTCTTCAGATATTCAATAAATGACTTGGTCACTGTCACTGTAAACTGTTATAACAAAAACCATTAATTTTGTTTTTGTTGCAATAATACTGTATCCTCAAAACAACATTTTTGACATCTTAATTGAAGATTTTCTACAAATGCTGCAAGCAAGCTTCTGTTTTGTCAATACATTACAACACACACACACTAAGTAAATAAAAAATCATTGTTTCAGGAAGAATGCTTACTAATTCCATGAAATTATCCATTTAACTTTAGAAATATTTGTGAATTTTCACAATGTTTAGAGTAAAGTTGAATGGGAAAAAATCTTATTTTCAAATCTATAAAATTTAGAGTAGAACTCTTAACATTGCATTGTTGCTTCTAAATTTGAAATGTCAAAAATAATGTTTTTGAATGATGAAACAACAGTCAAGAACTACATTAAATTAAATATTATATAATGGTAATCAACATTAAAATGATAACATTCTAAACATTCTAAAAATGAAAATTTTACTAATTTTTCTTTACCATATCTATTGGACGAAAGATGTAGAGTACAAAAATATAGGAAAAAACACTGCATTTTTGATGACATGCATTTTGCAATAAGAATGCCAGCAGTAAGTTTATTAATTAAAGATACTTGACTGAATAACTACCTTCGAAAGTTTGATTACTCATTCACAAATGAAAAAAAAAAGTTCTAAAATTTATTGTGATATTACTACAGAAAATATACTTATGTACTACAACTTTCAAAATAAACTTTCTACAAACAACAAAATGAAGAAAAATTTGGTCAATAAGGTAACATTAGTATATTGTTTTTGTTATTTATAACCACACATCTTATTTTGATATTTCCCTCTCTTCAAACTAATGTCAAAAAGAACTATCTGTTCTGCTTTAGAACTGCTATATACCTCTAACTTACATCAACCTTCACATAAAGGTTGCATGTTCTTATATTGTTTTCTGAGTACATGCATCTGTCATTGTCCCTTCTGTTTTGAAATACATACATTTCTAGAAATAATTTATTACATTTTTCCATTATCTTTTTGATAATCCGAGATGGTTTTATGTTGAATCATTTTATTGTTTATTTTTATTCACTAGTTTTTAATCACACTTAATTTTTCGGGAACAACTTAAAATTGTAATAATTTTCTTCAACTTTCTCTACCTTACTGTTTTTGATCTTTGTTTTGCGTGAGTAAATTAAAAATATCTATCATCATCATTAACAATATCATTTAGATGGGTTAAATTTTGTAACTCTTTCTATTTTGGTCTAGACATTCGAAGTCCTCTTGCTGGGTCTACAATTTTCTACACTTCTCTCTACATTTGTATCTCTTCAAACAATCTTTAGGAATCAATTTTGTGTCTTTTGTGTCAAGAACTGTCTTCTTATCTAATTTGAACAATTTTGATTCTCTGTTGGTTCATCCATTTACATAACACTCAGTTTCTCTTACACCCCATTTTCACCTGTATAACAAAATTAAGGAATAGAGAAATCTAACACAACCAGCACCAGAAACCTAACAGGTGAACTGATGAACAGGGCCGCACGTAGATTTCATGGGGCCCTTTGCACATTTGAATGTCTGAGAGACGTAACATTCAGGGCACAGGTGCTAATGTTTTGGTTGCCATTCTGCGACCTTCCTTAGAGCCCAGAGAAAGGTTGCAGAATGGCAGCTGAAATGTTGGCACCTGTGCCTAGAACGTGGTGTCTCGTGGAGAGCTAAGTGGCCAGTGACTCCAGCCACAAAAGCATATGCTGTCACGTCATATAAATTTATAAAAAATCCAATTACATAAAGAAGAAGAAATAGAGAGACAGATAATTTGTTTTCACAGATTCCTAGACATTTGTTAGGTTTTCTGCCTCTTATGAACAGCCCTACTGATGAAACACAGTAAAATCCTAATGTGAGCAGGTGATCCAGTTCACTAATTCTGGCTACATCAAAGGTAATTACTTTTTGAGCAAAATAAGATAATTTTTATGTCCTATTACACAGTCCATATTTTATTTCCAATTTATCCATCCAATATATTTTTATAATCATAATTTAAAAGTGTATTCTATGCATTCTGTAACGACTGAACTTTATCAATTCAGTCACAATCTTACAGTTATTTAATTAGTATTACCTATACTCGCATCATCTATGCAACCATAAGGTTGTCAGGAAGCAGGATGATCTAGAGACAGTCTTTCTGTAGCTATGTTTTTAATTATACTGAAATATGCAATCTCTTAATACTAGTTGTTAAATTTTCCTTTCTCAACCTTCTGTCTAATTCTTCATTCTCATAAGAAATATTTATTACATATAGTTAGTATTATTTAATGTTTCAATTGATACTATTATGAAATTGAATGGGAGAATCACATTCATTTTTAAATATCTATTCCAAATACAAAATTCAATACTTTTACAAAACTAAAATGAATGAATATCAATAAATCCATTTTTAACTAATTCAGTAGCATAATAAATTTTAAAGCTTTCTTCAAACAAATTGGAAAAAATAAATTTTAAATTTTTATAAAGCTGTTAATTATTATTTTTTACATATAAAATACTTCTTTTTTAAACTCTCTAAACATGCCAAGCACATAGTCATTTTTTTCCAGAAGACTTGCAGCATGCTGATACTGAGAAAATCTGTACTTAGTAACTCTTTTGTGCATGCCATGGAATATAACTTTGGTGAACAAGGAAGTTCTAAAATCAATTGCCCCAATTAAGATTAAAAAGCCAACAAAATTCAACTTTTATTGCAATTAAGGAAAGAAAAATAAGTTTGAGAAAAGGAGAGAATAAATCAGAAAAATAGGAAATGAGTGTTTACTCAAAATGATTTGTATGCAACAAAATTCAGCAGAAAATGATGGGCAAAGATGCATAAGAAAGAAGTAGTTTAAAAATATATATAAGCCAAAAGGAACTGTACACAAAGATGATCATTAGGGATATGTCTAGAGAAATGAAGCATTGAAAATGATTTCTTAAATTTACAACAGTGAGGCAAGACTTTTGGTACTATTATAATGACAAAATTAAGTTCTATAAATATTTTTGAAAGAAATGATAAGAGATTGGCGTTGTATGATGTACTAAAAGAGAAGGAATAGAAGATGATGATGATGATGAAAAGACACGAAAACAATTCCCATTTCAACCATTTGAATATCACTTCAAACCATTCACAAGGAATCAATCAAGATTATTTTTAATGTTTTCGTGTTTTCAACATTTTAACAGAATTTTAGGATTTTTTAATTTTATGACAAATGTGTGTTTGGAGCAATATCACTTTAAAATGGCAAAGAATCTGAAACATTGCCTCACGAAAAATTAATAATAAACAATATCCACTAATGATAAATAAATAAAGATATTGTCTGGTATTAATACTTTTTATTCAGCTTATGATCTTTGGGATCGCGTAGCAATCATCCTCAGAGCTAAAATGTGAAATACAAAATATTATTAACAGGTTGTAGTTATTGTATGCAAGATGCGTAAGCAAACTGGGTCGTACATACCTTGCAGCTTCTGGGCCGAAAACAAAGTTCTGCGAATTTTGGAGGTGTGTTCTTATTTAGAAACAGCGGTCAGCAGCGAGAGGGGGCGGAAAAGGGGTGGGGTGCAGGTGAAGGGTCGTAAAGCTGGGGTACTGGTGGAGGCTTGAGAGATGGTCAGGCGAGCGAAGGTCAGTGGAGTAGGGAGGGCTGGGGGTGGGTTAGGGATGTCATATCTGTGCTAATTTTAGCAGAGGTGAAGAGAGTTCAGGATTTGTTGGTTAAGACATGTCATGTTTTGTTTTTGAGGACGTTGTGTACCTGTAGAGCTTCCAATTTTATTCTGAATTTTATGTTGGGGTGTAGGGAGTTGATGTACTGTGTAAAATATAAAGTTGTCTTGTGGTGCTGTCATAGTGCTAACACATCGTCTACAAACTGTCTACAACTACACTACTTCTGTTGTTAGTGTGTTAGTGTATGATACTACAGGTCTAATGGGGATAGTGATTTGTTGTATTTTCACACATAAACCACAAGAATTGCTTTCAAACTGAACAAAGACTTCAAACAATACACACAAGACAACTTTATATTTTTACACAGTACATCAACTCCCTACACCAACATAAAATTACCGGGAGATAGAAAATGAACAAAAATCTTTAAACTTCCTTGATCTCACATCACTCTAGCACAGGACCATCATGAATTTAACACATTCAGAAACCACACCACGGACACAATCATACACAACAACCCCCACACACAAACACGCAGCCTTCCATGCGATGGTGCATCGATTAATTTCCATACCTATGTCCCCAGAAAGCAAAAAAAGGAAATAAAACACATAAAACATATAGCCAGAATGAATGGATACGACTGCAACATGATGACAAATTAATAGTCAAAAACAAAAATAAACTCAATATCCGCAAACACACTACCCTCACACAATTGCAGAAGCACTACAGCCACGTACTCACAATCCTTATGTAGGGCCCCTTTCTCTAAAATAGCCTCCACATTCAATAAATTGGTCTTAAAACTTTTTTCAAAAAAACTCATACATTATATAAAACTATCCAACATAAAGCCCCAATCCCACCTACATCCTTATGCGGAGTCTATGCTCTCATGTGCAACAATTGCAATGCCATATACTTAGGACAAACAGCCGAAAATTCTACAGAGAATCAAAGAACACGAACAAGCATTGAAAAAAATAACACTAACACAGTCTCACACTTTGCGGATCACCTAAATTTAAACAAACACACATTTGATAAACACATAAATTTTCGAATTCTAGAATTGAAAAACAGGTACTGGAACAGAATAAATTGAAGCCCTACACATACCAACAACGTCCTCAAAAAACAGAACATGACATGTCTTAACCAACAAATCCCTGAACTCTCTTCAATCTCTGCTAAAATTAGCACAAAGTGTACACCCCTAACCCACCCCAGCCCTCCCTACTCCACTGACCTTCGCTCGCCCGACCGTTTCTCAAGCTTCCCAGCATCCCCGCGTTTGACACCTTCACCCGCACCCATCCCTCTTCCAGCCTCCCGCTGCGACGGCTGTGTTCTTAAACAAGACACACGCTCCAAAATTTGCAGAACTTTGTTTTGGCCCAGAAGCCAAGTATGTACGACCCAGTTTTGATTACGCATCTTGCATACAATAACTACAACCTGTTAATAATATTGTATTTCACATTTTAGCTCTGAGGATGATTGCTACGCGATCCAAAGATATAAGCTGAATAAAAATATTGATACCAGACAATATCTTTATTTATTTATTTATCATAATAAAAAGGTATCTACCTCACCAGCGATCCAATTAATAATATCCACTAAATATTACTTTGTTTTCAAACCCACAAGGCCTTGCAAACATCTCTTCAAAATATCTAATTCATGAGGTTGTGGAACATAATCTTCACAGCATAACTACAATTTCATTGTGATCACCAAGCAATTCTCCCATGTTCCCCTCTTCCCACACCGCCTTACACTTCAACTCATGTTGTTATGATTATGTTGGTAATATCATGTTCAGTGCACTGAGTGAAGTAGACAGTCTGTGATAAAAAAATTATCATAGGTTATAAATCGAACACCACTTGTACAATTTGTTAATTACTGCAATCTTACTCCTAGGGCATTACTTCCCTCCAGCTTCTTATGCAGAAAATGCAAAATTCAAATTGCTGATTAATATTAAATAATCCTAGTGTAAGTACAAAACAAATTCTTATCAATCTTAATGGGTTAATCATGAATTAATGAAATGTAAGGCCAAGGCTGAGTACCAAAATATAAGGCCAAAGTTGTGTATCAATAAATACGGCCAAAGTTGTTTTACAAAATAATTTTTTTGGATTCATTCAACAAATAATTATCTATTATTTTTTACACAAACATTCCAAACCAAAGGGAATTCATGATGTCTCTACAGTGCATTCACTTCATGCAGATTGCAAAGAGAGACAATCTCTCTCTACTCTTGCAGACACACAACTAAGGACAGACCAATGAGTGTAAAGCAAGGTGCTCACTGCCTGGCCAAAGGCACTTGGGACTGTACTAACATTCTCCTCATGGAAGAAAACAGAGCTTGATGACGGATCACTTGCGTAGGCCTCATCATGACGATGCAGAAAACTGCAAAAAGGAAAGAAATAAAATGCTACACACTAGTCGTAAGGTGTCAAGTAGTATAAAGTAGTATTCGAATAGTATAAAGATGCTCTCCCCCCCCCCCTTGTGGTTCAACCCTTAACAACTCCTAATAAGCACTATTTCAAACAGTAATTGAAAAACAAAAAAATCAATATTTTTTAATGTTATGCTTTCAATTTACACTTTTCTTTTTTTGCACAAAATTATTTTTGAGTTCATTGATTCATGAAGATCAAGCATGCACAAGGCATGTTAATCAAGAACAAATATTAGAAGCATCAACTATTAGAACATTGTTTTTGTACTGCAGTATCACAAAGAAAATTGAAAAAGAAACCTAAAAATAATTATCAGTACAAGCAATATATTAATTACTTATGCCCATAGTACTTCCTGTAAATGCAGTACACCATAAAAATGACTTCCTTCACTTAAAAAGATTAAGGGTAGTGGTAAGGCAGACTTCTGATTAAAGAGGTATCCAGTTCAACTGATTCCAGTTAAGAAGCCACTGAATTCAGTTCTGAAGTAAATAGATGTATTTGCTCTTCCTCTAGGGAAAAGGGACTAATTGAAAGTTTCGAAACTCTAATCTGGACTAAGAAAGGCCAAACTATAGAGGTATTGGACCTCCTATTCGTTAAAGAATATTCTACAGGACTACATCACGTATTTTTTTTATCATTTCCAAAAAGATCATCGTACAATTTCTAACCTAGCAATTACCATCACCGATTTCAAATAATTTTTAGAAAAATTACTAACTTTTATGGATGGCCTAATTCTGGCGAATAAATTGTGAAATTTCTTAGTCCAGAAAAGCTCTTACTAAATGTCTAGGCTCTTACCTAAATTGGCAGAAGGTGTCTGAGTATTCTGCTCGCAGAGACTCGGTACTTGCCGGTCCAACATGAGATTGGAACACAGTGACAAAGAAGGTGAACTCGGAGCCCAACTGCAGATGTTCCGGCAGCTCCTCTTCCTTGACGTCCGACGACACCGAGCTGTCACCACGGCCCGAGTCTGCATCACCATCAAGGTCTGCTGACGCGAGTAGAGCACATCAGGCCTCAGGCACACTCCAAACACACTCCTGCGCTCCAGCTGCCATTGCTCTGATTAACTGTCTTCTTCATGTCAATTCTTCCCCCTCAACTATCTTTTAAATTCACTTCCTTTTATTAACATTCAAAGATATGTGAAAGACAGGAATGGTAGTGTTTTTACTGCAGACAATTACTTAAATAATGAATGACTTTCATTGTTGCAATGAAAAATACCCAGGTATTATATGTACAATACAAACTAGGTGTTTCAAAATTTAGAACATTAACCAGAAAATGTGTAAGTTTTAAGATTAATCTTAAATAATGTTAATACTCTTGGGAGGATCTGTAATAATTATTAAATTAAATTTTAGTAACTATTTTTCATCCCCAAAAATGTAGTCTTAAAGATTTATCAATTGTTTAGTTCTAAAGGGTGAAAGTATAAGGTGTCTGATAGGGTTGTTTTTAAGAGGGGAAGTATGTGAAACCTACAATCCTGTTAATGATCTACCAAAAACCAAAATTTAATCTGAAGCTCAGAAATACTAAAAGAAGGCAAAGCACTAATGTACAATGCTCACATATCATCCCACTAAGCATTTCTTTCCTTATTAAAAAACAATGCAACGCAAATTCTGAAAAATTTGGCTTAAATGTTCAGGTACACATATATCCATTCTTTCCGAAACAAAGAAAAAATTACAATGTGAAAATATTCATATTACTGCTTTTTAAACATTTTGCCTTTAAGATTTTAATGAGTGGAAATCTCAAAATTTGTCAAAAACCAACTTGTAATAGAGTGCTGGTGTTGCCAACTGAATTTAATTACTAAGCTCTGTGGAGCAAATTCAAGACCTTGCAGGTTCCCAGTTGGGTGACCATCTAGGAACCCCAGGATTTAATGGAGCCAAGCTCCTGGCCGAAGGGATGTGTTATGACTAGACTTGACTGATAATAATGGAGGATTACTCCAAGCAAGTGCTCAATACCCCAAAAAAAGGTTTAGACATGCATTGCGTAAGCAAAGACGCTACAAATAAAATAAACATTTAAAAAGTACATGATATTTTATAAACAAAAATACAATTTCATTCTCCAAAACATATGTAATTAAAAGTTAATTTATATTTCATATTTTTGGGAATATATCAGAAAGAATAACTTTAGTCGACATATAATTCATATCATATTAGATATTATGTACTATTGCAATCAAGACTCTTGCATATATACAATAGGTGCAAATAATTTCTTTTGTAATTGAAGCATAGTTGCATTAATTACATGAAACATTACATGCAACCATTCGAAATAGACAAAGGATTGCATCTCTTTTACTAAACTTTTTTAACTGAACACATTTTGTTTTTGACAAATGAAACAGAACATATATAAATGAAACAAGCATTGTTCTTCCTTGATGATGTAATGTCACAGCACTAATCGGAGGGCAGACACAAATACTAGGAACACGATGACCGAAAGTACAGCTGGGATGATATATGAGCATTTATCCTAGATGTCAATTTCTGTCAGCTAAAAACAAATTTGCAGAAAATTTTTGTTGGACAAACAAGGAATTATCATTTCCATATGTCAGATGATGAGACAATGCCTGCACGTTCCTCAGCTCTTATAAATAGGTAACTATGGAACTTTGACAGAAGTGTCAAATGGCCCACTTCTACAGCTGAGGAATGAGAAATTACCACAGAGAAAAAAATTATCTCCTCTATGCCAGTTTCTAACTCGTAATTTCTGAATTGCAACTCAAGTGGATGTGCAACAAAACTGTCAAAATTAAAAATGAATAACGATGAACTAAAGAAAAGACACATCTATCTTTTCTATACTTGCTTTTCTAAATCGCATACATTTCTTTGAAGAACGAGTACTTAAAAAGATTGATGTAGGAATTAAAAGATTTTCCTATTTGCAAATACTGTTTGCCTGTCACTTCACAAACATACAAAACAATTATGCATTAAGCAGATACCCTTGCATGCTCACAGACATACAATACACAAAAATTACATTCACTTTTCACTTACATGTCCACTCTGATCATCTTACAAGGCAGAAGGGATCACAAGGCATCTGATACAAATTTCAGATACATCTCATGAAATACTTCACAAGAAATTAAAATATGATGCTCACTGCACTGTTCTTAATTATGACCAAATTACTCAAAAGCTTCTCTTTGCCAAATTAATACACATCAAATGGCCAATTTTGAAATAGTTTTAGCAGCAATGCTACATTTGAATCACACAACTGATATACTATTCAAGGATACACACTGGGTGTCATAATTATGGGGAAATTATTAAGATTTCACTTTCAGAAAACTTTTGGAACCATAACAAAATGATTTCTAAAGAAACAAATTTTGTTATTTTGTCAAAATAACTTAAAAACATATTATCTGTGTTTCTTGCTTTCCAAGTTCATAACCTTGTTTTTAAAAAGACAAAAATACTGACCTTCTCCTTTGCAAGAATCCTTAATATCTTCTATGACAAGAGGTTCCTCTATGCAGGGTTCTCCTTCGACAATGCGCTCATCTAATATTTGGCTATTTGGGCGACATGTGGGGGTTGAGGTTCGAAGGCGGATTGAAGGAGCGCGGTTTGTTTCAAAGAGACCTTCATCATCAAATGAAATGCGAGTACATTTCTTAACTACAGGTGAATGGCAATATTCTTTGTCCTCTGAAAGATCAAACATGAAGTAGGATGGTACATTTTTCAATTAAGAGAACTGCTACTAAAAGATAATTGATAATAAGTAATATTACTCGGAAGCATACTGATTATACTTATCACTGATTCAAACCAATTAAAATTCTTCAAGAGAGAAAAACATTTTCAATACAAATATATAAGTTGACAAAAGAAAATGATATTTTGTAATATGAGAAATTAACAAAATTAATCGACAGAGTTAGTTCTTAAATGAACTTCTGACAACACACAATAATTCTTAAATTGCAAGGAACAAAGAAATTTTGGTTTCATGAAAGTAGATTAATAGACAAAAAGTCAAACCATTTTTCACTACGGAGTTGATTCTGACTTATCTTGCAATTGCCTAACAATAATCATGCTTGATAATGGAGTTTACTCAAGTCAAATTCACTAGTTACAGAATGTTTATCACCATGATAAACATTTTCAAAATTTGAAAACTTATTAATAATCACAGAAACTTACCTCGGCCAGGACCCACAATAACTCTCAAGTAACATTTGACATCGCCCTTTTCATTTACAATGGCTACATCCTGTCCCATGCACACAGGGTAGAGCAAATTGCTCAAATACAGGAAACCCCTAAAAACAAAAAATAAAAATTCAAAATAATGAGAAAAATTATAATATGTGAGGTAAGGCTATAAACTAAAATTATGAAAAGAATACAAGGGAACTTTTGAGATATCAGACTCCTAAGCTCAAATGAGCAAATTTACAAGAAGAGAGTGTTTCACAATTTTTATTAGCTGTATTAATACAACAGACACAGTAATACAAATTAATGTCTATAAAAAAATAAATCATATTTTACACATTTTTAATAAACCCTCATGTCTAAAAAAAAGTGATATTGAAATTTCCATTCTGAAATTAGTAAATTAATGTAAGAAAAGAAGTTATTAAACTAAAGTAAAAAGTACAAGATTTTATTATGATTATTAAAATAGATTTACATGTATAACGTATTTATGGAAAAAATCACCAATAAATGAAAATTAAATATTCTTCATTGACTGCTTCTGAGTTTCTATTGCTTCCATAAATTTGACCTTATCATCTAATGTTAGAAAATGTTTTATGGTTTTTGCACTGTTAAACTGGTTTTGATACGCATACAAATGCAGACCACCTCACCGTCTAATAGCTGAAATCAGACTGCTTGCTGACTCTCCACGCGAAATACATCACAGCCCAGATAATTATGATTTTCTGATTCCCTCACATGGCCCTGAGCAATGTGTCTCTTGCTGAGGAGTTACGATTTTGAACGTGGGGCAGAGAGAGGCCCATATAAAAGCCATGTCCGTACACATTTCCATGCTCAAAGATGATGGGGGAATTCCCCTACGCCCCATACTTTGAAAGACAAGTGATCCAAGGTTGAATGCTACACTCTCAGCTGACTCCTCACTTCTTCGCTGTGTGTTTGTCACAATTAACACGTGGGATAGAGAAAACAGACGTGCAGATTGATTACATTAAGAATATTTTGTGTCTCTCTCATTTACATTAAATTTACAGGTATTACATTTCATAAAGATTTTCCCCCCCTAAAGGACATGGAAAACTGTTCAATTTCCGCATTAGACAGATTCCGTTGTATGCTGTATAAAATACTATATAACTTCATGGGCCAGAGAAATTTTTTGGTTAAGGCAAGTTTTCCAGCTTGTACAGGTTCCCTTTTAGACAGATAATACTGTACAAGGGATTTATAAATTTTATTTTACAGATAAAAAAAAAAGGAGTCTTCCTAACAAAGCCTATTTATGTAGAAAGATAAGCTTAATTTAAAAAAATACTGCAAAAGAAGTAGGTAGATAATAATCATATTTTCACAAGTTGTTTTACATATGTAAAATATCCTCACCTGCCAATAAGACGGAACCATGGAAATCGGTCATAAAATGGATCACCTCCAGTAAGTGACTCAATGCTATAGTCAGGTGAAGTAGGAGATAATTCCGCCTCATTGTGGTACATTTCACGCATCAGTTCCAGCCGTTGCCTAGAACAGACAGATATCTTTCAGTCTACCTTCACCTTTAGGACCTGAAATAAACGTGACATTTTGTTTCTCCAGCTACATCTTTTTTTTAAACTTCTAAGTGACTAACACATGAGCTGAGAAAATAAAATAAATATTTTCACTAAAGTTCACAATATCAGTATATGAATTATGTTAAAAAAATCCCATGCTAATATAAATTATGATTGAATCATTTGAAAAATATTCTAAATTAAAATAAATATATAAAGAAATAATAACAACAATAACAACAACAACAATAATAATAATAGAAAATAACTGAACATGTTTATAAACATAAAAAATAAACACATATTTCTTGAACTTAATAAATCATGCTACATTTAATATGTAACTACCACCTTCATCTATTGTCTACCACCCTTCTCTGCTCTGCCAGAACTCAAATTTAACAACTTCAAACAATATTTATTCACCAGTGAAATTGAAATTCAATAATCAATTGATAATCCTCATTCTCAAATATAATTTTAAGAAAGCTATTCTTAACATTTTAAACATTTCTGAACATTATATAAGTTACAAATTTTATAAACTAAATACGTTTCAATAATACATATATCAAATCATTATAAAAGTACAAATGGTTGTTGTGCCTAGGCAACCCACATAGCTTTATATTTCAGCTCAAGAAAATTCGCAAAACATTTTATGCATTAAGAGATTTACACACACACATTGCAAAAGAAAATAAATAGCATTTCCAAAATATTAATGATAAGCTGAAATAATTAATTATTTTGACATGTGTACTGAAAATTGAACAAGACATCTAGAACTTAATAAGACATTCTCGTATATTTATTATCTTACTGCTACTGCTATTTTTATTTTCCTGTCTTGTATTTGCAAAGGCAAATGAGTGCAAGAAGCGTGTGGTTTGGCACTCTGCTTCTTGATAAAACATATAAAGCAATAAAGATACATGTTTGTGCAAGTTTTCTTTGGGTACATTTACAAAGATGTTATGCACATATACAAAAGTATTCTAAAATAGGAATTGAAATTATCCACAAGAAATGTGTGAAATCATGCTTTGAAACATATATAAGCTTTAATAATCAAAAGCAGGATGTTCTGAAATTCATCAGATCTTTTCTGCTCTATAAACATGCATACTTATTCTTTGCGTTAAAAACACAACGCCGAGAGAATTTCATCAAATTCGCACTTCGCACGACATTTCATCTTTCTTGGCAGTTAATAATGAGAGCTGCAAATATGAAGCAACTCTTGCAAGAAAATGTAGAAACCACACACATGATAAGTTTCCAGAAAATTTACCTCCAGGGAATTCTCATTATCAAGAAAAATGTTTTGGAAGGATTAATATCATATATCTTTAATCCTAGTAAAACTTTGAACTTGAAAAACTAGTATACATAATATCTTTAAAGGTTTTTTGCTTCCTAAATAGATAAAACGTAAAATGAATAAAGTAAATATACATGTAAGTAAATTGCTTTGCCATTGCTGTTAATGCTTCAAGGCGTGTAATACTACTTAGTAAATATTAAATATCTGCCAAGTCAATGAAAATGCTTAGACACACATTTTCCTTTAAATATTTTGAAATACATAAAAAAAAGTACTGGGATACAAAATGGAATAAGACAGGCAAATACATTCTGAAGAGCAATTAAGGTTGAAATTCTGCTTTTGCCAGGGTATAAGCAATATTCTTTTTTGCCCAAAGAAAGTTTTAGAGAAAATTTGGCACATTTGATTCAAAAATTTAAAATACTTGTTTATTATATAAGTTTTCTCTGTTCTGGATTTCATATCATTTTTCTTCTTTCTTGTGGTGTGCAAGAACATTCCAATGGGAATACTCTATTCAAATGACTAATTCATTGTGTATAAATTTGAGAAGCTCATGCACAAGCATAACTAAACAGTGAACATTTGAATACTGATTCAATGTTAGTACAATTACAGAGATATACATATCAAATAGGTAATCTGCTAATTAATTACACGTTGAACAAAAAGTAAAATAAATGTTTACTTTCCTTCTGGCAAATTTAACAAAATATCTTTTACAAAAAAAAAGAGGCTGCATCTTATAAGCTGGCAAATATACCTAGTTACATGAAGTTAGAAAACCCTTTAACCATTGTCATGCAAGGAATAACTAAAGGACCTAGTAAAATTCCTAAATGTTTAATCCTGTAGTTCAGAAACACACAATTTTAAACTTTATCTCATTTTCACAAAATTGAAAATAGATTTTATTTATTAAACAATGTTTTATTTATACGAAAGAAACTTGCAGGTTTGCCTATAAATTTTCAAATCTAAAATTATACTTGGAAGAACTAATAAAAATTGCATCACACAAAGGAGAACAAGAACAATAATGTAGTTACTGTAATATGCATTTCAATTCAGTTTCAAGGAGTAACTTTTTATTATCTCCTACAATTAAATTTTTTTGAATTATAATTTAAATGTAATAAAATAATAATTACCATCAGAATTTTACCAATTAAAAAGGTACAGTTGCTGAGATGTTTATTGTAATGTTCTTAATTTGTGAATTGTCCAACTTACATTATGAATGCATTATGCTATAGATTATTCTTCAATTTCTTGTTTTAGAAAAACACTTGTGAAAATTAAAAACAAAAGTAACTTTGAGTCATATAGGCCTACACAAATTTCTCTCCATGTTTTCTCAATTCTGCATACCTCCAGAAGGGGGAGATGAAACAGAATGTATAGCTCATGCACTGTTGCAAACTGATTAAAAGCAACTCAAAAGTCAATAATTTTATAAAATCAAGGCCATAAAGAACATTCACAAATGACTGACAGGTAAATTCTGAGTATTACTGGAGTGCAAATTATGTTGAGTGATGATGATGAGTGATGATGATGATGATGAGTGATGATGATGATCATGATGAGTGATGATGATGATGAGTGATGATGATTATGATGATGAGTGATTATTATTATTATTATTATTATTATTATTATTATTATTATTATTATTATTATTATTATTATTTGTATTATACTGAAGACAGAAAATATAGGCATCTCAAGATCATCTTCGATGAGATCTCTCCCATTATTCACCCACACATTGCCCAACCTCTCCTCTCTCCTCTTCTGTGCTCCAATAGCTAATATCACACTCTGAGAACCCACTCGGGAAGCATCAATTCAATTCAATTCAATTCATTGCAATGTAACACAATGTAACGCAATGCAAAGTAAAGCAAAGCAAAGCAAAGCAAAGCAAAGCAAAGCAAAGCAATGGTGCCTTATTTTATGTTTCAAAAATCAGAACATTAGGCCTGATCTTCCATCAGCAATGCAAATTTCACTATGCTCCTTTCTCCATCTAGCAGAGAAAGAAGGTATCACACGGGCAATGAAACAGATGATTTAAATTTAGCTCAGAGGTTTCTTTCAGGCTTAAGGATCTTTTACATGCAGTTACTCTCCAAAATGGAACAGCCAGCTTTACTTCCCTCCCGAGGGAAGTGAAACAAAGGATTTTCTTGCCCTTAAAAATCCACTTCTTCAATTACAAACTCAGGTATAATAGGCCAATACACTAACCATTATACCACAGAAACCGCAATGCATCACCTGTGTCCACATGACAATGTCCCATCGGAGATGCCAAACAGCAGACAGCACCCATGCGTTAGGTGGGGGGGGTACCGGAGGAGGAGGACCGATTAAGTAGATGTAGGAGAGGAAATAGTGTAGCAGCAGCAGTAGAGGAGGAGGTTGAGGTTGAAGTATTAGTGGTGGACACAGAGTGTGGGGTATTACTGATAATCTTGAGCAGCCTACAGTTTCTGCCCACAGTACAATAAGGTTTACGAAAGCAACGGCGTAGCGCCAGAGACAGGCAGGAGGCGGTGCCATGCCAATTTGCTGAGGTCGAAAAAAGGCAGCAAACTTCCACACTCACGGTCAAATTTCACTGTCACTGTTATTGTCAATGGTGTCTTAAGCATGAAAACGAAAAGTGTTAGTGGGGGAATTCAAATTGGCAGCAAATAAATATGCATTCCAAAAGCAATAATTTGTGGTTGCAGTAATATATTCTACTACTCTACAAGGTACCAGGCTACTTCACAAGACAAAATGATGTCAAATAAACATATTCATCACCAATGCCCTTTGCATAAACTATTTGTTTTGAATTATTAAAAGACATAAATATACTATTTCTTCTTTATCATATAGTATCATATAGTCCCATGTTTTTGTTTCTTTCCCCCAATCATAACCGGTTTTTAAAATTGGAACTTTCCTCAAATGACCTCTGACAGTAAAGTTTGACCACCCACAACGAACAAAAAAAGACTATAAAAATGAAACGAAATGAGAGAGAGGCAGATACAGAGCACAGAGTGATAGCTCGCAGAGGATATATATATACGCACATTTTTAGAGGGAGCACCAACCTCGAAGGCAAAAGATTTGCGAGTGAGAACTTCTGATTAGCACAGACAGACAGACAATGGAACAAGTCCTCTCGGCCTTCTGGTGTCTCTGGACTAAGGTCTTCGTTGTAAATTTGTCGCATGAGTTCCAAGCGGTGTCTACAACGCACAGGAAGGAGAGGCTGGCATTAGGACCCATTTGGGCTGCCAGGAAGTAGGGCAGGGCCGGATTAAGCTTGACATAGGCCCTAGGCACAATTTTTTTATATATTACTCTATAATAAATTACTCTATTATAAAAGATTTTACCAAATTCAAAAATTGGATAATTTTGACGGTTTGTTAGATTACCTAAAGTCATTATATTATAATATTCTAAATACAGACCTAAAAATTGTTTTGTAATGTATAAATTTCAGAAGTTATTTTTTAAGATTAAAAATCTATAATTTCGTATATATCTAATTTATTTATATTTAGTTCTGAAATACAACTTTTAAAATATTTTATCAAGAGACCCTATTGTAGGCCCCTCATGTTCATAAGCCTTAGACACTGTGCCTAACGTGTCTACTGGTTAATCCGGCCCTGAAATAGGGCAATGGTCTTTTGCCTTGGAGGTCAACAGACAAGTCCTCATCACTCATCTCTAAATGAAACTGGATAGGGCACAAGAACCAAGAGTTGTGGCATGTTACATGCCACCATAATTGTGAAACGTGTACCTGTAGGTGACATTCAGTTGTGTGAGGTGGTACTAAAAACAGGTAATGAAGTGAACTGTAAACCAGGTAATGAAGTGTAGAAGAGTTGTTTAGTTGAAGATCACATTTTTTAAAAGAAAGTTTTCAGTTTATTTTGTGGTAGTTATGATCAAAATCACATATATTTTATCTGGTGCCCACAATTTGCTTGGTAGTGTACACACAGCTCAAACTATATTCATCTTATACAATGATTGAGAAAATATTACAAATATTTATACAAAAAAAACGTACGATGTTTGTACGATGTTTGAAACAAATTATTTTAGCTAGTACAATTATTTATTACTAATTTTATAATTTCATTAATTGCACTTCGTTTTTGTTAATGTTATTAATTTTAATACTTTTTACTAAGTTAACTTCTGTATGAACAACAACTATATGTAATGTGTAATTTCATTTGGGCAAATAAGTCTGTGCAAATAAATAAAAAGTTAAAAAACCATCCATTAGAACTGGCCTGTAATATTTACTGTATTTTACAGCAAGAACTTTTTGATTAAGACACTAATATTTAATGAGAAGTAATGTGCCTCTTATCATATTAAAATTTTCTTTTTTTAAAGAAAGTGAGCAAATTTCTCTCCTGACAGCGTGGGCGTTTCCTGATTTCATAACATGCTTTGCCTGCAGCACTGATTGAAGGTGTCCCATCCAGTTATAAATGGAGATGAGTGGTCCTCGCATGGACAGGGATGGGCAACATGGAAATAAGTCATGTGTGACCACAAAGCACAGCATGTTTAAGATTTATGTAGACAGACCAAGAGTTTCAAAGAGTTGTAAACTGGTCATGCATATTATTTTGTTTTCAAGTACAATTCTTGATTAAACCATTTTGCAGCTTCTATTATTGACAACGTTACACTCCAATCAAAACAAAAGGAGGGATATTTATATTATCTAATGATAGAATTAGAAGGGTTTCTAAGAAAACAAAATTCTGAATGCTTGACTGAGCTCACAAAATGGTTACTATCACAGAACTAGCTGGTTTGTCAAAATTTTATTGATAAATATTACTCATATTCATATATTAATTACACAGTTTTAAATGATGAGTTAAAGTGAAATATTCAGTTTTCTATTGTTCTTAATATTTTGAAATCATATCATTTGGATCATTTTTGTCTTCTAACTGTCCAAAACCTCTGTATATTTCCACTTTTTTATGATTTATAATTTTTGTGACTTGTTTGCTTCTCCTTCACACATACGGAAAAGAGGATATAAGGAAGAAGAAAAACAGCAAAGATATGAAAACCAAACATCATCTACAAAATACTGCAGATACTTAAAAGTGTTCTAAGAGGTTTGGCAACAAAAATAATTTAGGGCAATAGATTCAAACCAGATACCTCAGGAAACCTGTTTTTCAATACTTAATTCAGTTCTATCTAGAAACACAACCACATACAATCATTAAAAAAAAATTTCAAGCTCAATCCACCTTTTATTTCACTTTTTCACAAATATTATATTAAATGCTCGTGAAACAAAATATAACAGATAACCGAAATGTAGCTGTTGAGGTAGAACAATTAAATAAAGAATGAGAATTTTTATCTGTTTGGCTGCATTTTGAGGTGAATGTTTAATTCAAGTAGTAAAAACAAATTTATTTAAAAAAAAGAAGAAACAAAAAAAGAAAAAAAAATGCCAAGAAATTTAGGAAAAAGAAAACTATTACTCCCAAAGAGTGTAAAGATATCAAATTAATATTTATTTAAGTTATGAAACTATTATGCCAGGTGGATATTGTTCTACATTTTTACTCACCAGGAACATAATTGAGAGAAAAGAAAAAATAAATAAGATGGGGATGACATACTAGTGTTTGAAACATTTCACTTTGTCAACTAGAATACAGCAATAAAGGACAAGAACACAGTAACGATAAAATTCAAATATTCAGACAAAAATGTGGATAAGAACTGAATTACAAGTATTAAAAAGCTAGTAACAGAACTGTCAATTACTTCCTAAAGTGAAAAAAAATTGTAATGTATATGCTTTGCTTATGGATAAATCAGAATGAAAAGGAGACTAATTTTTTAAGGTGCAATCTTTCAGAAAAGCACAGTTTGTCAGTGCTAATATGAGGGAAGCATTAGTATATCACACCACGCATTGCTGCATGCAGCAAACTAGTACTATGCAGCCAAAAAATTAAAAGAAGGATGGCCCACAAGTCAGATAACTTTAGCATTATTTAGAAGCTCATTTAACTAGCATAGCAGTTACTTGTCTAAAGCACAAGTTTCCAATGAGCATTAAATTTCTATTTTTCAATTTTGCTAACTGACTTACAGGCAAGTCAAAGTCAAGTAACAATCATGCTAGTGAAACAAGCAACTATCTGCTAGTGGCAACTAACTTTTGGGCTACCCTCTCTGACTCGATATTCTAAAACTTCCATGTGAAACAAAGCATACACTTTTGAAACAAGACTAGGAGCATTCAAAAAATGTTCAAGGCACATAATAGTCTGGAAAAACTATGGCTAAATGTAATCATATCATTTATATTAAAACTTTAATAAAACTTTTATAACAGGTATAATACTGTGCCATAATTACATTAGTACACAGAAATTTCTTTGTTCCGCCTAATTTCACAATTAATACAACTAACTTCTAGTAGAAAGAAAAGGTCAATACTATTTTAAAGAATGAACGAACATTTACATTTTTCATCTTCACAGATTCAATTGGGTGAATGATTATCAGTTCCCATAAAAAAGAAAGATCTCTCTCAATGAATACAAACAATATTAATTTTCTTTGTCAGTGCAATGACAAATCCTGATCACTTGAAATTGTTTTCCCTGAATTTTTCCAGCTGTTTTCTTATTTCTCTCTATTAAAGGATCCACAGAGTACAATAAGAGCATTAAAAGTGCTTAAAAAAATGATAATAATAAACGAAATGATAAAAATAAAATGTTTTGATGGTAATTAGCAATTTAAAAATATTTGTTTTTCATAAAACTTTGTTGAAAAATTTTAATTCTAAATTTGAAAAATAAAAGGTTTGTTGGATCTATGAAAACAATTCCTTAAGTAGAAAACTTAGTTTAAATGTTCAATGATAAGATATGATAGAATAAGTAAAAAAAGATAAACTGATTATTACCAAATCATGTTTTATTCAACTTGGAAGTTAGTGAAAATATTTTGAAATACCGGTTCCAAACACCACATTTGAAATAAAAATATGAACACTGTTCACATAAACTGAAATTGATAAAAAATGTGGAAAAATGTGAAAATGTTGGACCCAATGGTAATGCTAGGACAGAAGAAGCAGTTAGACAAGAGAAGTTATGCATCCCAATAAACCAATAAAGTTGCACTGCCTTCATACAACCCTTCAAGTTTACATTAAGTTTTCAAACTTTTATTTGAAATGTTTTCGCATTAATGTACAACCCAAAAACGTTTACATCGCAAACAGTTTTTGCTGCCAGAAAAATACAATATCAAAACCTGATATGTAAAAATATTATTTCTACAAGATAACTTTCCATTTTAGTTAATAAAACATGATATGAAGTAGTAACTTTTAATTCACATCATCCGCCACTTTGGACAACAACAAACAACATTTAAAACCCAATTTTCTACTAATGGAAAATCTTTCATTTGGATACAAAACAATGGACATTTCTTGAAAAATTTAAGAATGTTTTTCAAAATGATTTTTTAATATCAAATTTGCAATTTTTTATTCATCTTAAAAAAATATATTAAATGAAAACATTTTTCAACTGCTAAGAGAGTGTATTTAAAAATATTCCAAGCCTAAAGGCTCCAAAAATTAAACCGCAAGAAATACATTTTTGTTGTGTAGTGAGTTTAAGTGTGTGGTGTTAGGAAGGTAAAATCCATTGGAAAAAACAAAACAGAATCATTGATCACAATAAACTATCTAATTTTGCTTGGGGACATTTTTTACAATCTTAGCCTTAATAGTTTCTTTTAACTATCTTATTTGGCTATCTTGTTGTGCCACATTTTATTTTATTTTTGGACAATTGGCTACAGAAGGCAAGTTAGAGGTAATCTTAAATAGTTTGTATCTCTGTTTTGTATATTACAGGGATAATTGGGAAAACAACGTTACAATTAGAGTGAAATGTGAATGAATGTGGTAATGAAAGAGGACTTTACCAATTGCCTAATGTTAAAAATATTGGTATAGATATCATTCATTACTATTTGTTACAGAGACTATAACACTGATAAAATTTTAGCAAATAACGCACTTTAATTTAGTCGTAGTAAAACAATGAGAAAATAATTATGCAAAATAATCATTATCCATTGCCACCTTGTAAGTAGTAATTATTGCTGTTATTTACAACCGAACCTTATATAATTTTGTTGATGCCACATGGCATTTTAAAAGACCATCTCTCTACCTTATTACTATTCACAGTGTTACATCAATACATTAATCTTTCCTTCCGCCAGGGTTCAGGCTCAAGTTGAATGCTTATTTTTGACCCCCCATTTCCCTGTATAATTTTAGCAATTTGATTTCCCTGAGCTTTCCAGGTGTTCCTGTTGTTGTTTTTTGCCAGAAATCAGTTGCCCTCAATGGATGCTCAGAAGTTCACTGCATAGAAGATTAACTAACCAGTTCCTCTGTTTTCATTTGATGTTCCACTTTTATTGCAAATTGCTACAGAAGAAATCAATTTCAGTTTTCTCTGTGACACATCAACTTTTAACAATCCATGAAGTGTTCCTTCAAAACATATAAAAATAATTGAGACAAACTGCATTCTTGCTGTCCTGAGATTCAGCATTACAACAACAGCAGCCAACTTCTATCTCAAGTTAATTAATATGTTGTCTTTTATATATTAATTTCAATCTTATCTTTAACATTGATGCTATTTTGTAAACAGTATTTTACGAAAACTAATCTCAATTCTCAAAACCTGCTTTTCTCACTAATACAATGTATACCTAGCTTTCTTATGTATGTTTTCATGTTGCTGGTGTGGAATGATCCCATAACTTCCACACATCAGCCTTGTGCAATGCATAAATAAAACAAATTGGAAGAAGACACATAGAAAATAATTTCCATATCAAGTGCTTCTTGACAATGCCCCTTCTCACAGTGACTGTCTGCTTGGTTACACGTGCACACAGGCAACTTTCTATTGCAATTCATTTGATATGCAATGCCATCTTTTGCATATTGACAAGTACAAAGTGAAATAGTGAAATTGAAAATCTTTATGGCAGTCTCCATAATTACTGCGTGTCATTTACAACATTGATTCCAATAATGAGTGTAGATGAGTATTGGTTTTGGAACAGCCTGTATATCATACAATTTCTTGGCTAACACAATAACAACACAGTTTTCAATAGAAGTGGTTCTGTGATAGAAGTTAGATTCCTTAATTCTCCCATTCAACAAACAGATTAACAAAAAATTGTCTGAATTTGGTTGTGAGAAAATCAATGACAGAATTGAATATGCAGAAAATGGACATAAAAAGGTACCCGAATGACCAAGGAATAATAGATTAATCTAATTACTGTATTTCAGAAACAAACAAGAACTAACATATCCTCCAAGTTCTTCACTAAAATCTTGTGTTCTTTCATACTAACTGTTGATTGAGACAAGTTTTGTAACTATCATGTCCACCCAAACTTAAACAGAAATTTTCTCAAGAAGCCTGTCAGACCATGAGACAAACTACCCAGCAAGGGCTTGCATCTTTTCTACCCAGAAACACTCACCTCAGTTTCTCCAGGGTCCAGTAGTGTGTGGCTCCATTCTTTGTGTCTTGCACCTCCACAGCAACGATTGTGCGTGGGAATGGCCTGTCTTCCTCCTCATCTTCGTCAGCAGCTGGCAGGAGCTCCGGGGGCAGGGGAGAATACAGGGTGTCCGTGAGCAGGGTAAACTGAAATTGCACCTGCAGAAGAAACTCACATGATTATCAAGCATGAATATCAGTATAATTAAAGAACTCATCCACATTATCATCATTTTCTCTTTAGTTATTTATTTGCCTCTCAAGTGGTTAAACAAGGGATGAAAATAATTACTGCTTAGCATAGGATTTTTTAAATAATTTATTTATAAACAATACTGTCATTGTAATCACCTTGCAAACATACTAGTAGAAAAATGATAATTTCAGGAAAATAATTACAATTAATATTATTTTCTCCGCTTTCTATTTATTTATTATATTATGTACATTTGAAACCCAAACAATTCACAATTGTGCCAAAAAAAATTTAATAGTTGAATTTTAAGACAATTCAGTTATAATGTTTCTAGAAAAGACTCTTTGTTGTGTATTTAATAGAAGAAAAGAAAGATTCTGATCTTATGCGATCAATCATCACTTAAATTTACAGCCATTTTTAACGTTCAATCTCCAACTTCATAAACACACTTTCTACGTTCTTATAACTATAATAGTGATGGCACAATGGAAACCCTTACACAGCATTAAAGACCAAAACAAAGAAAATAGGAAAAGAAAAGGTTTGGTTTCATATTTACATTTACCTATTAAAGAACTATTCATTAATATTCACAATTTTATAAATACTTTGATCTCCACATTTGAAAATACACCTTCCTTTCAAATTAGTAAACGGTTAATACTATTAACTGGGTAACAATTCTGAATATTTTTCTTTTGTTTTTTAATTCTGTTACCATTACTTATTTGAATGACACACTTTTAAAATTATTTGTTATGACATAAAATAAAATGTGTTTTCTATAAGACAAACAAATTCTTCAAGCACATTACCTTTTTCTTGAGCTCTACTGAGATTGCATTAGCCTCCTTGAGGAAAATGGCATTGCCCCAGAGGTCGTCGCGCAGCGAGGTGAACTGGTGATATTTCCACTTGCGGAAGCACCACGCGGCCAGCCGAAGCTGCCGGTCTGTCCAGGTGCACTCTGCGTCAAACAAGGGGTTGACTGAAAGCCCATCAGGCAGCCGCAGTCACCAACAGCAGAGGAGAGACAACAAGAAACAGACACAGTCAACCCCAGTCGCTCGCCAGGCACTGCCAACCCGGGCAAAAAGGCCTCTGCTCCACTCAGACAACGTGAGCACGCACAATGTGCAAACACCTTCACAACAAAAGGCAGCGGGCATAAGTGGAAAACTGTGATGCTTGTACTCTTGGGTTCCTCCAGCAGGAGGCACTATTCCAGACTGACTCAAATGAGCTGCGATGATGATTTGCTTCCCAATTGGACCATTATGTGACTCTCTTTTGTGTGTACATACTTCTTTGAGGAAAACTATAGCACAGCAGGCCAAACAGGGAAGAAAATATTCACTTTAGCATTTACTGAACCATCTAGTACATATCATGAGCAGTCTAAAGTTACATCCTCTTGATTTCTCACTCTATACTTAGAAAAATCATTTCTGAATGCCAGTACAAGAAAGATTCAGAAAAAGGGTTCAAGTGATTGGCTCATAACTTCATAATTGTGAAATGATAAACTTTGGTTTAAGACTGTAATGTCGATGCAGGTTGAGATAATACCCACGACAGAAAAGGTGTAACATTTTGTCATAATTCTCTAATTTCTTTAAGTACGTGCGCATCAATCCTCTATTCAAGTAAGGTTTTCTATCTAATTTTTGCATAATATCTAATTAATACATTCATTTCTTAATCATGGAAAGAAATGTTTGAAAAATAATATAATTCGAAACAAAAATATTGTATAATTTTTTAAAACCATCTTCCTGGATTCAACAAAAGGAAAACCTCCTTCAAGTAGAGAGTTATTCAAGAGTTCTTACATTTATTAGTTCAAAATTATTTACTCATCATTAAAATTACAAGTTTTAAAATGTAGAGTAAAAAAATAAAAACAACAACCTATCGCTGATTGGGCTGCAATGCCATTCAAGTGGCAATGCAAAAGGGAGGTAAATTTGCAAAAGATGACCACACTATATTACAATTGCTACATTATTTAGCATGAAACAATTTGCATCGTAAAATAAAATGTGATGAATCCCTCAATCTGTGTCCCCTTTAAGCCAACACTGACCATTCAATGGAATAGAATTCATTATCAAATATTTTTTCAATATTACACAAATTCCTTCACAACGAAGTACAATGCTTTGCGTTTGAAAAATTCTGAATATCTGTCATTTGTACAATGGAGAACAAGCCTTTTTGCTCAGCATGGCAGTTTTGAATAACCATTATAAATAATTGCAAATCAAGTATAAACAAGGTTATTATTGGGGAGAACTATATACACGTGACCAGGTTCACTAAGCTCTTTTTTATGCTCAATCATTTTATTCAGATAGAACACTTTATCCACTATTTTCAAAGTTAAAAAATATCCGTGCCACATTTACAAAATGATTAATTCACAATTAGACAATATGATGAGAATGAAATTTGATAATTAATATTGTACAAGAGATAATATTAAGCTCCATGAAACTGGTCTTCAACTCTGTTACTAAAATGCCATATGTCCATAAGTAACAGTTTACTAATTTCTTTCCCAAGTTATACAACTACTGGAGTCTAAATGAAAGAGCTATAAACATATGAAAAGATTGCTTTACAAATGGGAGAATAGTGCAGTCAGAAAGCACAGCATATAAGTATATATACATTTAAATAAAAATTCAAATGGGTAAAAAAAAAAAAAGAAAGAGTGTGCTAATAAGAAACAGAATAAAGCCATGTGTGCAAAAATTGGCAGCAAAACAAAGCAAACTAAGAAATAATTCTACCATTCTAAGAAAAAAGGCTCTCTCTCACATCTACTTCAGACCCAGAGGTTTAGTTCCTTTTTTCTCTTTCACGGCCTTTTGTTGCTCTGCATCTCTTCTCCCAAACTGCATTACTTATCAAAGAAAGTGCTTCGACCTGTGCATTTTGACAATTATGTCCTTCTGCCACATGGACGACATTTTATGATGTTCTATGCTGCCAATCTCCTGACCACGGACATGTTTAGACAAATGAAAAGTGATGATTAAATATATAAGAATAATTAAAATTGGCATCTGAAATCTTAAGGTTAACTTAAAGATTCACAGCCAAAAATGAGTAGTAACATTCTATTTTTTCATTGCCCTTTTCCACAATACTTGAATTCTTTTTCCCAGCTCTAATAAACCACACAGGCTCTGTTCAGGATGATGTGAATTAAACTAGTAAGGAAATTATTCCAAAATCTATAATAAAAAAGAAACTCAAGCACTACAGGATGACTATGAAATACTTGAGCACAAATTACAGGGCAAGTAAAATCTAAGTACAAGTTATTTAGTAGTACTAGTAACAGGTACATGTACTTTAATACTAGTAATTTAGGAGCACATCATTATGTATTCAATTATGTGAAGCACCAACAGCTAATAACACTAATTTAGCAAATAATTTCTGCACCATTACGACAATGAATAATTATATGCATTGACAATAATATAAGATACACAGTACATGACTAGCAAGAAACAACATGTAAATGCATTTTTCATTTTAGAAAAATATTGATTAATAATTTAGAAGTATTTTCCCAATTTTAGGGTGTTCTGGCAACATAACAGAGATACAATTTATGGAATTATTTTTAGCAGGAGATGTTCTGTATGTTGAAATAAAGAAGCAAATGGTACACACAATGATGAAATATAAAGAATTATTTCAATGTTATGAATATACTAGTATTTTGATTGGAAAAATATGTAATTTCATGTCTAAAACAAGCATTCTAAACATTACTATAATTTCCTTTGAACAAAACTAGACATTTTAAGCATTAGCTCATCAAATGGAGAGGGGGCTTCAAGTGAATATTAAGTGAATTTTTCAACACATTAATTCTATTGAATGAAAAAATTTTGAAATGTTACAACTAACATTCCTGTTTTAAAATGTTATAAAGATGATTCATTTCTATAATTGTTATTTTATTATTTTGAATAATATTTACTTTGTGACACCCATTTTAAATCTTCAGTGTTTCTACATATGAGCTTGTGCACAGGCATAGGAAAAAGAGTAATACGCTGACTGTGGCATTCAAACACCCATCATTAGGTTATAATTTATGCACTATGTAGATATATATTCAAGAGGAGCAAGAAACAATTTTATGTTCGTTAAAGCATTATTTAACTGTAGAAGAGTCAACCAGAGACAGCAGAAAAAGAAATTTGGAAAAGGTTACAAAGTTTAAAATAAGAGAGAAGGATGAGAGCAATAAGGGAAGGGCAAAACAACATTTGGAAAAATCTAAATAATTTTCAGTTTCACAATTGCAACAAATTTTGAAAAGCCAAGTTATTTGATCAAAAGTGAGGATGCTGTCATCAAAATTTGATGGATTGCAGTCACAATTTCTACAATACAATTTCTCCTGCAGTTACAAACAATTTAATTATTGAGCTAATATTTTAAGCCTTATAAACACATCATTATTCCTTTTATTTATTACTATATTCAACTCTATTGATTACTCAACTTCTCTGATTGTCATCTTGAACTGATGTAGTAAATTTTAGCTTCTTAATTGGGCATAATGGAGTAACATTTCTGAATTCTCTTTGCAACTATGGCTTGACAAGTGCATTCATCATTTTCTTTTGAAAGTCCAACTATCCTGAGCATTAGTGGACGGTCACAATAACTGATCATGGACGGTTGACAATAACTGATCATCGTATTAATATATCATTGATGCCGTCTAGACAAGATAGGATATCTAAGCATTACTCTATTGGGCAGGACGAGACAATTCCTTAAAACATTATTGTATGGAAACTAAAGAATAATGCGTTTTCTTACAAAATTAATTCCTTCAAGTTTGAGGTGACTTTTAGTTTGGGGAATCCCTTAGTTAATGGCATCATATAAAAAATTACGTAAACAGGGCATACTCCTAATCAAATACACATTTGAAGACGAGAAAGTTTACATTATTTGCTCCAAGAAAGGGACTGTATTTACTTTGTCTCATCTATTGACATGTTCAATAGATTTTCATTCATAGATTTTTTGACAAGTATATTAAAACAATGATCCTGAAATAAGGTTTTCTTTTGTGTGGATAGCCATATATGGATAGCCAAATATGAAAACTATAAAGAACTTAGTACATCCACCGAATTATATCACATTGTACTTCATCAGAGAAGCCACATCTCTGAACAGAAGGGCATTGCATTAAGTAGGATTTGCTGTCTCGCAGAAAACAAACAGAACTCTAATTAGGTCCTTAAGACCCAATTACAGTAATAACTATATATATATATAATATATAGATGTTATATATATCATTCAACATCATATTTTCTCTGAATAATTAGTTTTTTAAGTAGGTACCTTATACTGTATATATTCATTTTCTTTTGTAATACTGAATATTGAAAACGATCCTGAATATGATTGACAGTGATTAAATATTAACGTAATACTGAACTACAATCAATCATCTGACTTCAGTGAATTTTGGCAAATCCTACAATAAATGCTTAAGAGCTCATAAAGTTTAGTTTTAACAGCAAAACGCTTTTCACCACAGCAAATTATGTAAACTTGCCATTTCTATGTTTGGTTATCTGAATTATTGAATATCCAAACTATACCTGGTCCCAATTAGTTCGGATAATCAATGTCTCACTGTATTCCCCAACAAAGTCAACATTTGGCCTTGGTTTCAAAAACAACACTGGTGGTGAGAGTGAGGGAGAGTGCATTTATTGATTACAAGCACGACAGCCACTAAGGTCGTTAGTCCCACAAGTGTAGTTCATGTTACATCCCTCGTGATGGTGATGGTAGTGTTCCTCTCCTGATGACTTGTCAACCTGTACATCAGCCTGGAGATGAGTTTACCTCCCTTCAGATATCTCCATGAGCAGGGTACTGCCCATGCCAAAACCAGCTCTAAGCTCC